GAGGTGGTCAGGGATGCATTGTGTTCAGATCTGTCTGACCACTTCAGGAGGTGGCCAGGGATGCATTGTGTTCAGATCTGTCTGACCACTTCAGGAGGTGGTCAGGGATGCATTGTGTTCAGATCTGTCTGACCACTTCAGGAGGTGGCCAGGGATGCATTGTGTTCAGATCTGTCTGACCACTTCAGGAGGTGGCCAGGGATGCATTGTGTTCAGATCTGTCTGACCACTTCAGGAGGTGGCCAGGGATGCATTGTGTTCAGATCTGTCTGACCACTTCAGGTGGTGGTCAGGGATGCATTGTGTGCAGATCTGTCTGACCACTTCAGGTGGTGGTCAGGGATGCATTGTGTTCAGATCTGTCTGACCACTTCAGGTGGTGGTCAGGGATGCATTGTGTTCAGATCTGTCTGACCACTTCAGGTGGTGGTCAGGGATGCATTGTGTTCAGATCTGTCTGACCACTTCAGGTGGTGGTCAGGGATGCATTGTGTTCAGATCTGTCTGACCACTTCAGGTGGTGGTCAGGGATGCATTGTGTTCAGATCTGTCTGACCACTTCAGGTGGTGGTCAGGGATGCATTGTGTTCAGATCTGTCTGACCACTTCAGGTGGTGGTCAGGGATGCATTGTGTTCAGATCTGTCTGACCACTTCAGGAGGTGGTCAGGGATGCATTGTGTTCAGATCTGTCTGACCACTTCAGGTGGTGGTCAGGGATGCATTGTGTTCAGATCTGTCTGACCACTTCAGGAGGTGGTCAGGGATGCATTGTGTGCAGATCTGTCTGACCACTTCAGGTGGTGGTCAGGGATGCATTGTGTTCAGATCTGTCTGACCACTTCAGGTGGTGGTCAGGGATGCATTGTGTGCAGATTTCTCCTCAGTCTGGACGCCATCAGGCTACCGAAAGCGCATAGAGTAGGGCTGTCCCCGACTAAAATAATTATTGGTTGACCGAAAGTCGTCTGTTCTTTCGACCAATACATTGGACATTTTTTTAAATGTATTTTTCCATATAGGTGCTTTAATAAAATCAACTATATGCATTGAGCTTGGCTGATGCTTTAAGCTTACTGTTTGATGAAATAATACACAAATGACTCAAGAGGGAGCCAGAGATCTAGATAACCAGAATAGAAACATCTTAACCTGACCCAACCATTCTCCTCCCGCTCCTGCTGGCTTTAGCAGATTCTGCCATTACTCTCTGAAGTAGCCGGTAATAGGCTACGCGAGGAGTCGGCAACCTTTCTCATGTGGAATACTAATTTATTTTACCACTTCTACCAATGTGCGTACCAGTTATGGTTTTCATATGCACATTTTTGTGGAACAGTTTCATTTAATTTATAATAACATCTTCAAATCTCAAAATCATTGTCATGTGGATAATCGAAATTCTATCAAAATCTGCTGGGCGGCAGGTAGCTTAGTGGGTAAGAGCGTTGTGCCACTAACCGAAAGGTTGCTGGTTCTAATCCCCGAGCCGACTAGGTGAAAAATCTGTCGATGTGCCCTTGAGCAAGGCACTTAACCCTAATTGCTTCTGCAAGTCGCTCTGGATAAGAGCGTCTGCTAAATGACTAAAATGTAAATGTAAAATGTACAAACCTAAAAAGTAACTTCTATTGCCATTATCAACTATGTAAAAATAGCCTACATAAAGCCAACGAATAAAAACATTGCAGCCTGCAGGTAGAAAATATCCTGATAAAAATAAATGTCCTTTAAATCAAATTGGCTACGCATGGCCTGTCTGCAATGAACTTGAAACATTGTATCAACTAACTTGGGTCCGGCCCGAAACGTGCGCTAGTGAACTTGCAACATTGTATAAAATATTCTGGGCCCTCAGTTTCCTGCACCAGTGAGCTCGGGACAGACACAGCTGTAGGCTATTCAAGGGATAAGAAACAGGGCTTGACTTGGGCAGCAGCTCACCGGAGCGGAGTACCGGCACCTCACATTTTCTAGTGCTTGAGCTCCTGTTCCTCTTATAGAATATTAGTTCATAAGTATTGTGGAGCTCCTGCACCTAAATATAAACAGTACCGGCACCCAAAATGAGAACCGGAACCTATTTCAGTCCAAGGCTACCACTGATAATCAGGTAGGCCTATTTTATGACGTTTCCACTGGATCAGAGCATTACATTTTTCCCTTTCACGCCGAATGGTTACCGAAAGGGAGAGAGCTGAAAAGATTTTTCAAATACATTGAGGAACTATTGTAATTCTCAATGGATGTAAAAACAGACTTTGTTTGCTTGCTGTTTGAGGTGAAGAAAACATTACTTTGAGAAGCTCCACAGGTCATTAGTGGTGGTGCGTTAAGCCAATCATAAAGACTATCAGATCCCCAAATGGGCACATTTATAGGCCTACATTTGGGCGCAGGCCAGGTAGCCTATAGGCCTATTTCTAAGCGTAATCAGGTGCGCGTCCTTACTCAACATTCACAGGAGCGCTCCAAACAAAAGACAATTACTAAATTGAATTGACAAAACTCGTAGATGGAATGAAATAAACCAAAACTTGTTTCTCACTAGTGTTGCGTAGGTTGTGCGCTCTGCAAACAATGTGTCCACTCCGACAAGGAGAACGGTAAAAGGAATAATAATATATTGAATGCATTAACCAAACAAATTATAGGAATTAACAGTACATGGACCACTGGTGATATGTAATGGGGAATTGATATACACTAACAATCAAACGCAAACAATTCACACAATGAAGTTATGAAACAATGAATGTGAGCACAAATATGGCGGAGAGAGAGAAGTGCATCTGGGTCGTGGCGTGGTCCGACGTCTGCATGGTCGTGTCGTGGTCCGACGTCTGCATGGTCGTGGCGTGGTCCGACGTCTGCATGGTCGTGGCGTGGTCCGACGTCTGCATGGTCGTGGCGTGGTCCGACGTCTGCATGGTCGTGGCGTGGTCCGACGTCTGCATGGTCGTGGCGTGGTCCGACGTCTGCATGGTCGTGGCGTGGTCCGACGTCTGCATGGTCGTGGCGTGGTCCGACGTCTGCATGGTCGTGGCGTGGGCCGACGTCTGCATTTATAGCGGAGCTATACAGAGCCCTCCTCATTGTTACAACATTTGGAGCTTGATTTGACCTCTGCATGCCTCCGGAGGCTCCGCAGTTGTATCACACCCTACATATTGATCCACCGACCACAGTACGGATCAAGCATTAATTGGCTTTTAGTCGAAGCCTCCACAATGGATTAGTTCACTGAGATGGCCGCAAATATATACAGTACTAGTCAAAAGTTTGGACACACCTATTAATTCAAGGGTTTTTCTTAATTGTTTACTATTTTCTACCTTATAACAGTGAAGACCTCCAAACTATGAAATAACACATATGGAATCGTGTAGTAACCACATTTTTTTGTTGAAAAACAAATGATAGTCCAACTAAGCCCAAACCAGATGGGATAGCATATCACTGCAGAATGCTGTGGTATCCATGCTGGTTAAGTGTACCTTGAATTCTAAATAAATCACAGACAGTGTCACCAGCAAAGCACCTCCACACCATCACACCTCCTCCTCCATGCTTCACAATGGGAACTACACATGCAGAGATAATCCGTTCACCTACTCTGCGTCTCACAAAGACACGGCGGTTGGAACCAAAAATCTCCAATTTGGAGGGCAGATTTCCACCGGTCTAATGTCCATTGCTTGTGTTTCTTGGCCAAAGCAAGTCTCTTCGTCTTATTGGTGTCCTTTAGTAGTGGTTTCTTTGCAGCAATTCGACCATGAAGGCCTGCTTCACACAGTCCCCTCTGAACAGTTGATGTTGAGATGTGTCTGTTACTTGGACTCTGTGAAGCATTTATTTGGGCTGCAATCTGAGGTGCAGTTAACTCTAATGAACTTATCCTCTGCAGCAGAGGTAACTCTGGGTCTTGCTTTCCTGTGGCAGTCCTCATGAGAGCCAGTTTCATCATAGCGCTTGATGGTTTTTGCGACTGCACTTGAAGAAACTTTGAAAGTTCTTGAAATGTTCCGTATTGACTGACCTTCATGTCTTAAAGTAATGATGGACTGTTGTTTCTCTTTGCTTATTTTGAGCTGTTCTTGCCATAATATGGACTTGGTCTTTTACCAAATAGGGCTATCTTCTGTATACCACCCCTACCTTGTCACAACACAACTGATTGGCTCAAACGCATTAAGAAGGAAAGAAATTCCACAAATTAACTTTTAACAAGGCACACCTGTTAATTGAAATGCATTCCTGGTGACTACCTCATGGAGCTGGTTGAGAGAATGCCAAGAGTGTGCAAAGCTGTCATCAAGGTAAAGGGTGGCTACTTTGAAGAAACTCAAATATAAAATATGTTTTGATTTGTTTAACACTTTTTTGGTTACTACATGATTCCATATGTGTTATTTCATAGTTTTGATGTCTTCACTATTATTCTACAATGTAGAAAATAGTAAAAATAAAGAAAAACACTTGAATGAGTAGGTGTGTCCAAACTTTTGACTTCATCAGCAAGTCTCCAGAAAACTTGTTTTGGGAGCGAGAGGCACCTTTTCATTATAACATTGGAGGAAATATGTACCTAGCATGTGGGGAACGTGTTTGCTGGCCAAAACAGAAATACCTTATGTAAATAAGGTATTTCTGTTTTGTATTTTTTTTATAAATTAGCAACATTTTCTAAAAACCTGTTTTTGCTTTGTCATTTTGGGTTATTGTGTGTAGATTGATGAGGGGAAAAAAAACAATTGAATCGATTTTAGAATAAGGCTGCAACATAACAGAATGTGGAAAAAAATCAAGGGGTTTGAATACTTTCCCGAATGAACTGTATATAATATGCTACATCCCAAATTGCACCCTACTCCTGTTCAAAAGTAGTGCACTATATAGAGAATAGGACGCCATTTGAGACGCAACTGTGTAACGTTTTCCTACCCACTCTCTCCGCTGAAGGAGCAGCAGCAGGGCTGGAACCCGGCCCCGCGGTGGGAGATGAACCGCTATACCACCATGAGACTGCTGGGGGACGGCACCTTCGGCAGCGTGCTCATGGGCAAGAGCAAGGAATCTGGAGAACTGGTGGCCATCAAGAGGTGAGGGCATGGGTGAGGGGGCTGTGAGTGTGTGTGGGGGGGGGGGGGGTGGGGGGGGGGGGGGGACTGTGGGGTGGTGGGGACTGTGGGGTGGTGGGTGGGGACTGTGGGGGTGGTGGTGGAGGTGTGGGGTGTGGCTGTGGGGGGTGGTGGGACTGGTTGGGGGTGGTTGGGGGCTGTGGTGTGGGTGGTGTGGGACTGTGGGGGTGGTGTTGGGACTGTGGGGTGTGGGTGTGGGGGTGGTGGGACTTGTGGGTGTGGTGTGGGACTGTGGGGGTGGGATGTGGGTGTGTGATTGGGTGGTGTGGATGTGTGGGTGTGGGTGTGGTTGGGTGGTGGGGACTGTGGGGGTGGTGTGGGACTGTGGGGTTGTGGAGGATTGTGGGACTGTGGGGTGGTGGGGACTGTGGGGGGTGGTGGGGACTGTGGGGGTGGTGGAGGATTGTGGGACTGTGGGGTGGTGGGGGACTGTGGGGGTGGTGTGGGACTGTGGGGGTGGTGGGGGACTGTGGGGGTGGTGGGGGTGGTGGGGGACTGTGGGGGTGGTGGTGGTGGACTGTGGGGTGGTGGACTGTGGGGGTGGTGTGGGACTGTGGGGGTGGTGGGGGATTGTGGGGGTGGTGGGGGACTGTGGGGGTGGTGGAGTCTGTTTGCGTCTCGACATGGTGTTGTCTTATTGTTCTTTTACGGTGACTTAAACCCTGTTAGACCAGAGCCACCATGGTAATCTGCCCTGAGTGATATCTTCGCGTCAGACCTTGTGGAGAAAGACTGTCTGCAAAGATTCTAGATGCAAAATATAGCCTAGCTAATAATAATATGGTAATGTGGTTATGTATATTATGTATATTATGTTATGTATATTATGTTATGTATATTATGTATACCCTACCTCTTTAAGGAATACCTGGGATAGTATAAAAGTAATCATTCTACCGCCCCCCTACCCCACCCCCACAAAATAAATAAAAATTCAAATAAACAAACAAAGAAAATAACAAAAATAAGGATACAAAATTTACAAAATTAAATAAATAAAATAAGAAACAATATATATATAAAACAACTGAACATTAAAAATATACTCTACAAATAAAAAATTTGAAAAATAAATAAATTGTAAAGTGGCGCAGTGGTCTAAGGCACTGCATCGCAGTGCTAGCTGTGCCACTAGAGATCCTGGTTCGAATCCAGGCTCTGTTGTAGCCGGCTGCGACCGGGAGACCCATGGGGAGGCGCACAATTGGGCCAGGGTAGGGGAGGGAATGGCCGGCAGGGATGTAGCTCAGTTGGTAGAGCATGGCGTTTGCAACGCCAGGGTTGTGGGTTCGATTCCCACCTGGGGGCCAGTATGAAATTTAAAAAATATATAATGTATGCACTCATTAACTGTAAGTCGCTCTGGATAAGAGCGTCGGCTAAAATGTAAATGTAATGTATATTAAGGCTGCCTTGGTAAGTTCTCGTGTATGTTCCATACTTTCAATACTTTTATAAAAACTATTGGTCGCCAAATCCGGAGAAATTATGGACCATGTAAAGAACTGTTGGTCACTAAATCCGGCTAGAAGGACCACGTAAAAAACGGTTGGCTGGTACGCCCTCACCCGTCTGAGCGGTTGGCTGGTACGCCCTCACCTGTCTGAGCGGTTGGCTGGTACGCCCTCACCTGTCTGAGCGGTTGGCTGGTACGCCCTCACCTGTCTGAGCGGTTGGCTGGTACGCCCTCACCTGTCTGAGTGGTTGGCTGGTACGCCCTCACCTGTCTGAGCGGTTGGCTGGTACGCCCTCACCTGTCTGAGCGGTTGGCTGGTACGCCCTCACCCGTCTGAGCGGTTGGCTGGTACGCCCTCACCTGTCTGAGCGGTTGGCTGGTACGCCCTCACCTGTCTGAGCGGTTGGCTGGTACGCCCTCACCCGTCTGAGCGGTTGGCTGGTACGCCCTCACCTGTCTGAGCGGTTGGCTGGTACGCCCTCACCTGTCTGAACGGTTGGCTGGTACGCCCTCACCTGTCTGAGTGGTTGGCTGGTACGCCCTCACCTGTCTGAACGGTTGGCTGGTACGCCCTCACCTGTCTGAGTGGTTGGCTGGTACGCCCTCACCTGTCTGAGCGGTTGGCTGGTACGCCCTCACCTGTCTGAGCGGTTGGCTGGTACGCCCTCACCTGTCTGAGCGGTTGGCTGGTACGCCCTCACCCGTCTGAGCGGTCGCCTGTGAATGTCCTCACCCGCTGTATACTTACAACTGATTGGTTTGGTTCTGCCCACTATAGTGCTGTCCAGTTAGAACATGATGTTAAGGCCCACACTGAACACTTGGTCACCACCACCACCACCACCACCACCACACACGCAGACACAGCTGTTTCCATTTGAGGATATTTATATGATTGTGGTCATCCGAATGACTTGGAATCTTATTGTTGTGGTTATTTTGATACACGCACAACATTCAGACATTCGTGTTACTGTCGACAATTTAAAAAAAAAAAAAAGTCCTCAGAAACATGCGTCTTCTCCTTTCGGACAACAATAACACTCTGACCTGAGTGGGCGGGTGCAGTGTCCAGATGCACATTTCCAAGCGCTCTGATTGGTTGGGAATGGCAGGGCTATGACGGGTGAGGGATAACTAAGGTAGGCTGAGCAGCCGAACTAACGGGACTGAAGGGAAACTGAAGGGACCGTGGGGGGACCGTGGGGGGACCGTGAGGGGGACCGTGAGGGGACCGTGGGGGGACCGTGGGGGGACCGTGAAGGGACCGTGGGGGGACCGTGAAGGGACCGTGAAGGGACCGTGGGGGGACCGTGAGGGGGACCGTGAGGGGACCGTGGGGGGACCGTGAGGGGGACCGTGGGGGGATCGTGAGGGGACCGTGGGGGGACCGTGAGGGGACCGTGGGGGGGACCGTGAGGGGACCGTGGGGGGGACCGTGAGGGGACGTTAGGTAGAGAGGAGAGGAGCAGGACAGCCTTTTTTCACAACTTTAATCATCATTTTCCCCCAAAGTGGTAATTTCCTTGTGAAGGATCACTAGTGTCTTAAAAGTGAGTCTGTCTTACTAGGAGTCAGTCTGTCATGGTTTTGGGAGGAGGTCAATAATGAAGGTGTGAGGAAGACTCTGCTAGCAGTGTGTGTAAATGTAAGACTGTAGTGCAAGGTGACACCACTGACGACGGGGAAATCAGTGAAAGTGCAGCATGTTGTGTTGCCACTGGAATGTGATGGGAAAGGTCAGTGTCTTATAGCTCGGTCCACAAATACCCCAAGGAAACAGTACCGGTAGATGAATGGAAAGAAGGTATACCCAAACGCGATTCAGCCCAGCTTAAACAAAAAAGGGGAAATCAGGTGCTCGACTGAGGGACTTGAAAATCCCAAAAACATTCCTTACCTCAGGATACTTCAACTGGTGACTATCATTCCTTACCTCAGGATACTTCAACTGGTGACTATTATTCCTTACCTCAGGATACTTCAACTGGTGACTATCATTCCTTACCTCAGGATACTTCAACTGGTGACTATCATTCCTTACCTCAGGATACTTCAACTGGTGACTATCATTCCTTACCTCAGGATACTTCAACTGGTGACTATTATTCCTTACCTCAGGATACTTCAACTGGTGACTATCCTTCCTTACCTCAGGATACTTCAACTGGTGACTATCCTTCCTTACCTCAGGATACTTCAACTGGTGACTATCATTCCTTACCTCAGGATACTTCAACTGGTGACTATCATTCCTTACCTCAGGATACTTCAACTGGTGACTATCATTCCTTACCTCAGGATACTTCAACTGGTGACTATCATTCCTTACCTCAGGATACTTCAACTGGTGACTATCATTCCTTACCTCAGGATACTTCAACTGGTGACTATCATTCCTTACCTCAGGATACTTCAACTGGTGACTATCATTCCTTACCCCAGGATACTTCAACTGGTGACTATCATTCCTTACCCCAGGATACTTCAACTGGTGACTATCATTCCTTACCTCAGGATACTTCAACTGGTGACTATTATTCCTTACCTCAGGATACTTCAACTGGTGACTATCTGGGAGAGTAAAGAAAAAGGAGCATCTGTTTCTGCATAAATCTGATAGATTTATTGACGGGACAAGTAAATAATCGGCTTACGTTTTGGCATGAATCGCCTTCATCAGAGCCTTGAGTAGGAAAAATGTGGGAGGCACCTTTACACCCTCACAGGGGAGTATCCCACTCATCATGTCAATCAAACATGTCAATAATATCAATACTGTCAGTAATAGCAACTTCAAAGGTTAGTCAAGCAAGAGTTTGATCATTATTCCAGATTCCTACACATACATTCCAGACTCCTCCCCATACATTCCAGACCCCTCCCCATACATTCCAGACTCCTCCCCATACATTACAGACTCCTCCCCATACATTCAGGACTCCTCCCCATACATTGCAGACTCCTCCCCATACATTCAGGACTCCTCCCCATACATTACAAACTCCTCCCCATACATTCCACTTGAATAGCAAAAGACAGAGAATAAACAAAGAAAAAGGTATTTACCAAAACGATAAGAAAGAGAGCTGTTCATTCAGACCCTTTGGCTCGACGCAATCTAAGCAGTCGATCCAAAGTGCCTCTCTCTGTAACCATTTCCTCACTATATTGTCACCTCTGGAGGAAAGAGAAACTTTCTCAATTCCCCAGAATTTCAAGGTAGACGCAGGGCCATGATTGGCATTCACGGAATGCCGCGCGATCGCATAGGCCATATTTTGGTGCGGATAGCTGTTTCCTGTTCAGCTATTCTTAATTTGAGCGCGCGTTTCGTCTGACCAGTATAAACAAGCCCACATGGGCATTTGGGCATGTAAACAACATGTGTTGTGCTACAATTCCATCACCCGAACGTGGGTGATAGAATACTTGTGTAGCACTTGAGTTGGAACAATGTGTGCAATGACCCACAGCGGTAAAACCCTCTGGGGGACCTGGTAGAGGGCGCAGGCGCGGGATCCGGAACGACACTGCGACCCGTCCTAAAGCATATCAGGGGAGAGTTAGACGCAAAGTCTTTGAGCGAGGGGTTACTCTGGAGAATGTGCCAGTGGTTGAAGATCACGTTTTTTTTTTATCTGCCCTGCAGACGGGTTGTATTTAGTCGGTGTAAAAACAAACCCTAGAAGATTTCTCACGTTTGTCTTTTTTAGTGAGGAGGGCAGCTTCATCATTCTCTCGTGCTCATTTATGAGCCACGTTGAGGAGACTGTCACTGGAGCCGCCGCGTTCCAGGGACCTCTTTTTCATTATTTCAGCTTTTGTCTCAAAAATCATTTGATTTGCTGCAGTTTCGCCTTAGTCTAAGAAATTGACCAGTAGGAATATTGCTTTTAGAGGTCTATGATGGTTATTGTCATAGCTTAGGAGCGTGTTCCTACTGAGAGGTTTATGAAAAACAGTCGTTTCAAACGTATCACCGTCACCTTTAAAAACAGTTAGGTTGAGTAAATTGACAGAGGAAGTACAATGCGCTAATGTAAATTATACATGGGGATTAGTAGAGTTGGCATATAACACAAATCTACTCAAGTCCTCCTCTGTGCCCCTCCAGACTACCAGAATATAATCAACGTATCGGCGCCACAGGACAATATTAGAAAATAACGCTTTAGAGTAAAATATTTTTTCTTCCCAGAAACCCATACACAAATCAGCACAATTTGGCGCAAACGCCGCTCCCATCGCTGTTCCCTGGCTTTGGAGGGAAAACCAGCCAGCATATTGAAAATAGTTCATAGGGAGCGCCATTTCGGTTAATGTCAAAAATAAAACCAGAAGGGGGCAGCAGACCTCCAGGGCGTGGATCTAGATAGTGGCAGAGGGTTTCTGGGCCTCCTGCGTGGGTGGGGCTTGTTTGTATAAACACTTGAAACATCCCATAGTTATAAAGTATATCATTAGATTGAACTTTGACATTCTCAAGCATCTTTAGCACATCAGTGGTGTCACCCAAGAATGCTGGGAGGGAAGGAAGCAACTTTTTAAATGAAAAAAAAAATCTACAAATTTGGGATTGGGGTTCTGTGAGGCTGTCGTTATCAGAGACTATAGGTCTCAGGAACTAGTGCCAGTAGACTGCTAGATACATCGAATAAGAACTGGTCCAAAATACCTCTCAGGTTTATTTCATATCATGAACTGGTCCAAAATACCCGACTCTCAGGTTTATTTCATATCATGAACTGGTCCAAAATACCTGACTCAAGTTTATTTCATATCATGAAGTGGTCCAAAATACCTGACACAGGTTTATTTCATATCATGAAGTGGTCCAAAATACCTGACTCAGGTTTATTTCATATCATGAACTGGTCCAAAATACCTCTCAGGTTTATTTCATATCATGAACTGGTCCAAAATACCTGACTCAAGTTTATTTCATATCATGAACTGGTCCAAAATACCTGACTCAGGTTTATTTCATATCATGAACTGGTCCAAAATACCTCTCAGGTTTATTTCATATCATGAACTGGTCCAAAATACCTCTCAGGTTTATTTCATATCATGAACTGGTCCAAAATACCTGACTCAGGTTTATTTCATATCATGAAGTGGTCCAAAATACCTGACTCAGGTTTATTTCATATCATGAAGTGGTCCAAAATACCTGACTCAGGTTTTTCATATCATGATGGTCCAATACCTCAGGTTTATTTCATATCATGAAGTGGTCCAAAATACCTGACTCAGGTTTATTTCATATCAAGAACTGGTCCAAAATACCTGACTCAGGTTTATTTCATATCAAGAACTGGTCCAAAATACCTGACTCAGGTTTATTTCATATCAAGAACTGGTCCAAAATACCTGACTCAGGTTTATTTCATATCATGAAGTGGTCCAAAATACCTGACTCAGGTTTATTTCATATCATGAAGTGGTCCTCTGTAGCTCAGCTGGTAGAGCACGGCGCTTGTAACGCCAAGGTAGTGGGTTCGATCCCCGGGACCACCCATACACAAAAATGTATGCACACATGACTGTAAGTCGCTTTGGATAAAAGCGTCTGCTAAATGGCATATTATTATTATTATTATGAACATCCATCCACATAATAGGAAGTATATCAATGTGTAATGTTATTACGATTATATTACCATCTAATAGATATTAAAGGTCTCCTTAAACTTAGATTAAAATATGCTTATTTGTTCTCTCAGGATGAAGAGGAAGTTCTACTCGTGGGATGAGTGTATGAACTTACGAGAAGTCAAGGTACGAACCACTATCTGAAATGGCACCCTATTCACTATAGTGTACTACCTTTGACCAGGGCTCAGTGCAATATGTAGGGAACTGGCTGCCATTTCGAATGCATCCTAAGGCAATTTAAAACCACCATGTCATTTTAAAACTTTAAGCTCTGTCGCAAAACATTTGAACCAGCCAGCACCCCAATGCCAAAGGTTTTGACGCTCTCTGCCCTGGGGTAAAATAATATCTTCCCCTGTGATTTAAGTTGATGTTCAGTTACTGCCATAAAGGGCCAGCTTTAGATTTTCACGATTGTCCTTAGACAGGGCAGTGCAGCACTCAAAGAAGGGGATTTATTAACTCAAAACGGTTCACAGGTCACTTGGGGATCATGTCCCAAAAGCTTGTTCTCACTCAGAATTGTCTCTTGGTTTCTTCACTACCACTTGTGACCCACTCCTCTACCTACGGAGTCATTACACCACTCGGTAATCTCTCATGTCAGAAAACAATGTAAAACCATGACACCACTCGGTAATCTCTCATGTCAGAAAACAACGTAAAACCATGACACCACTCGGTAATCTCTCATGTCAGAAAACAACGTAAAACCATGACACCACTCGGTAATCTCTCATGTCAGAAAACAACGTAAAACCATGACACCACTCGGTAATCTCTCATGTCAGAAAACAACGTAAAACCATGACACCACTCGGTAATCTCTCATGTCAGAAAACAACGTAAAACCATGACACCACTCGGTAATCTCTCATGTCAGAAAACAATGTAAAACCATGACACCACTCGGTAATCTCTCATGTCAGAAAACAATGTAAAACCATGACACCACTCGGTAATCTCTCATGCACAAACTCTACGTAACATACTGTAAATGTAGCATCTGACGCAATTACACTCAGTGCAACTTTTCCTTATTGACACAGGAGTATAAATATGTTGTACGTTAGCTAATGTCACTCATACAAACCAATGGCATGTGCATGTTATATGTATGTTTGCAGTCTCTGAAGAAGTTGAGCCATGCCAACGTGGTGAAGCTGAAGGAGGTGGTCAGGGAGAAGGACCACCTCTACCTTGTCTTTGAGTACATGAAGGAAAACCTCTACCAGCTGATGAAGGACAGGTAGGATCAATCACTCATCAATATTATGATGAAAGATATCAATTAGATAATGAGAAAGAATGTTACTAATTGGACAGTTCGGATGGATGCATGTATGACTAATTTCTCTGTAGCTGTTGAAATGAGACCTTTTGTCTATGAGCGTTCCTATGTGTTCCTATCTAAGTATGATCTGATTGAGTCATCATGTGTCATGTATTGAGGAAAAGTTTTACTTACAATGATTGTGACATGTGATTGTCTTACCTAGCTCGGTTAACTCCAATGCACTGACTGTAAGTCGCTCTGGATAAGAGCATCCTGCTAAAATGACCAAAATGTAAATGTATTGATGTTCATCTTTCCAGACAGAGGTTGTTCCCTGAGTCAGTGATCAGGAACATGATGTTTCAGATTTTACATGGACTCTCCTTTATCCATAAACATGGTAGGTTCCCCATTATCCATAAACATGGTAGGTTCCCCAGCCCGGCTAGAGACTTCTCACTGAAGGTACAAGAGACACTGAGACTGAATATTGTAGCGACCCTCCATAATGAGCCACAATTAAAATTCCCACCAAGTGGGTTAACCCTATTGGCGCGACGTGTAGGGTGTTTTGCCTTTTCACTCCAGCGACCTGGGTTCGCTCCCTGCCCCTCCGTTCGCTACAATATGACAACAATGCATAGCCTACTAGTAGTCGATTCTGAATGTTTGCACAACGCTGTAGTCACATACAACATCATCCGCCTGTTAATATTATCTTTGAAAGGAATGCTGTTAATAACTATTCAAGCAGTAGATCATGTATTGGCTACACTCTTAGAGAAAAAAGTTCCAAAAAAAGGTTATTTGAGGAGGGATAGGTTTCTACCTAGAACCCTTTATGGAAGACAAGGGGTTCTACCTAGAACCCTTTATGGAAGACAAGGGTTCTACCAAGAACCCTTTATGGAAGACAAGGGGTTCTACCTAGAACCCTTTATGGAAGACAAGGGGTTCTACCTAGAACCCTTTATGGAAGACAAGGGTTCTACCTAGAACCCTTTATGGAAGACAAGGGTTCTACCAAGAACCCTTTATGGAAGACAAGGGTTCTACCTAGAACCCTTTATGGAAGACAAGGGTTCTACCAAGAACCCTTTATGGAAGACAAGGGTTCTACCTAGAACCCTTTATGGAAGACAAGGGTTCTACCTAGAACCCTTTATGGAAGACAAGGGTTCTACCTAGAACCCTTTATGGAAGACAAGGGTTCTACCTAGAACCCTTTATGGAAGACAATGGGTTCTACCTAGAACCCTTTATGGAAGACAAAGGGTTCTACCTATAACCCTTTATGGAAGACAAGGGGTTCTACCTAGAACCCTTTATGGAAGACAAGGGTTCTACCTAGAACCCTTTATGGAAGACAAGGGGTTCTACCTAGAACCCTTTATGGAAGACAAGGGTTCTACCTAGAACCTTTAACATCCTAAGAATAATTTCTGGGAGGAAGGGTTCTTTGATGATTTTTCTTTCTTTTAAATAGTGCTTGAGCATTAGTGTTTACCTCCGTGTTTAAACTTTAACATCAGGAGTTGAGTCATCTGATCATTTTAAAAAGATAGGTGTGAGTGTTTTAACCTGTACCTACATGGGAATATTTGTGCATGTATCTGTAATACCCTTAATCATTTTACATAGTTGATATCTTTGCCATGATTTATTTATTTCTAATGAGTATTTTCTGTGATTTTGTTGTTGTTGTTGCAGAGAGTAGGAGAATAGAATGGAGAATGAGTGAACCAGCAGTGAACCAGCAGTGTGTTGTGTGGTATACAGCTAATTGTAAAATAACCCCCGTGTTGGTGTTCATAACCAGAGTTGGGTGTGATTGTCATTTTGACTCTGTGTAGAGTAAAACACTGAAAACCACGCCCATCATTATCATATTTCCCAGCATGCTCTACTGCAGTTTGATTTTCAGAATTGTTTGTTTCAATATCTGTGTTTTTGCATGTAAAGTACATTGATTGGTTGATTAATCGGATGCTACACAAAGATAAATAACGTACATTTTTCTAAACGAATCCAAACTGTTAGTAGTTGAACTTATTGCACCCTTTACTGAGATTGGTTGTTCCACATTAGATGATTTAGGACAGGTAATCTCATTGGTGAATCTTACCTACCCTGGCAGTCATTCTGAATGCAATTGTTGGATATCCTCACTGGCTGGATTCCAATAGGAATTACACATCACTTTGCAAGGAAGCATAATGGGACTTGCAGGCCTGATGTGGCCTGTAAACCAGGAGTTTCCTAATACCACTGTGTTAAGGTATAACTAGGCCCTCAAAGAAAGGCCTTATGATATATGTAATCTATTGTCATAAAGAGTTAGATTTTAAAGGCTAATAAGGTTGGTGGAACTGTTCATATAGTGTTCTAGGAAGAACTCTTCAAATATAAAAGGGTTCTTGGTAGAACCCTTCAGAGGGTTGTAAGTATAACCATTTACAGGGGTTTCTATGGAGAACCCTACATAGAGGGGTTCTACCTAGCACCAAAAAGGGTTCCCCTATGCAGACAAACTGAAGAACGCTATATGGTTCTACTTAGCACCTTTGGTAGTGTAGCTACTACAAGTACCGACTTGACAAATGAGCTTGGTATGGGTATGGGCTAGATATGGGCTTGGTATGGGTATGGGCTAGATATGGGCTTGGTATGTGTATGGGCTAGATATGAGCTAGATATGAGCTAGATATGGGTTAGATATGGGTATGGGCTAGATATGGGCTTGGTATGGGCTAGATATGGGCTTGGTATGGGTATGAGCTAGATATGGGCTAGATATGGGTATGAGCTAGATATGGGCTTGATATGGGTATGAGCTAGATATGAGCTAGATATGGGCTTGATATGGGTATGAGCTAGATATGAGCTAGATATGGGCTTGATATGGGTATGAGCTAGATATGGGTATGAGCTAGATATGAGCTAGATATGGGCTTGATATGGGCTTGGTATGGGTATGAGCTAGATATGGGTTAGATATGGGCTTGATATAGATATGGGCTTGGTATGGGTATGGGCTAGATATGGGCTTGGTATGGGTATGAGCTAGATATGGGCTAGATATGGGCTTGATATGGGTATGAGCTAGATATGGGCTAGATATGGGCTTGATATGGGCTTGGTATGGGTATGAGCTAGATATGGGTTAGATATGGGCTAGATATGGGCTTGGTATGGGTAGGAGCTAGATATGGGCTTAATATGAGCTTGGTATGGGTATGGGCTAGATATGAGCTAGATATGGGTTAGATATGGGCTAGATATGAGCTAGATATGGGTTAGATATGGGCTAGATATGGGCTTGATATGGGTATGAGCTAGATATGAGCTAGATATGGGCTTGATATGGGTATGAGCTAGATATGGGTATGAGCTAGATATGAGCTAGATATGGGCTTGATATGGGCTTGGTATGGGTATGAGCTAGATATGGGTTAGATATGGGCTTGATATAGATATGGGCTTGGTATGGGTATGGGCTAGATATGGGCTTGGTATGGGTATGGGCTAGATATGAGCTAGATATGGGCTTGGTATGGGTATGGGCTAGATATGAGCTAGATATGGGTTAGATATGGGCTAGATATGGGTATGGGCTAGATATGGGCTAGATATGGGTATGAGCTAGATATGGGCTTGATATGGGTATGGGCTAGAAATGGGCTAGATATGGGTATGAACTAGATATGGGCTAGATATGGGCTTGATATTGGTATGAGCTAGATATGGGCTTGATATGGGTATGAGCTAGATATGGGCTTGATATGGGTATGAGCTAGATATGGGCTAGATATGGGCTTGATATGGGATGAGCTAGATATGGGCTAGATATGGGTATGAGCTAGATATGGGCTAGATATGAGCTAGAAATGGGTATGAGCTAGATATGGGCTAGATATGGGCTAGATATGGGCTTGATATGGGTATGAGCTAGATATGGGTTAGATATGGGCTAGATATGGGCTTGATATGGGTATGAGCTAGATATGGGTTAGATATGGGCTAGATATGGGCTTGGTATGGGTATTGGCTTCTCTTATAGGAATAGGGCCTTTCCTTAAATATCACAAAACAGATCATTCAGTCGACATTCATTACGGCTTTAGACTATGGTGATTTAAGTGGTCCTCTGTAGCTCAGCTGGTAGAGCACGGCGCTTGTAACGCCAAGGTAGTGGGTTCGATCCCCGGGACCACCCATACACAAAAATGTATGCACGCATGACTGTAAGTCGCTTTGGATAAAAGCGTCTGCTAAATGGCATATTTTATATTATTATATAGTCTATATGAATGTAGCTTCTACTGTATTGAAGACATTGGACGCAGTTTACCGTAGTGCCCTACGCTTTATTACGGTGATAGGTTCAGGACACATCACTGCATTCTGTATCAGTTTACCGTAGTGCCCTACGCTTTATTACGGTGATAGGTTCAGTACACATCACTGCATTCTGTATCAGTTTACCGTAGTGCCCTACGCTTTATTACGGTGATAGGTTCAGGACACATCACTGCATTCTGTATCAGTTTACCGTAGTGCCCTACGCTTTATTACGGTGATAGGTTCAGGACACATCACTGCATTCTGTATCAGAAAGTAGGCCGGCCCTCAAGTCTCGTAGATCAATGCACTGCTCTCTTTTTGTTTATAAAGCCCTCTTGTGCAAACTTCAACCATACCTGACTTCATTGTTAAATTACAGACATACCTTCAATCTCCACTGAGTTAGGTACATCTGCCTTTAGTGTCCCATATATGGAATGATCTGCAGAGCTCTCTGGTGCCTCCAGGGCAGTTGAAGTTGTTGATGGAGTACTTCTGAGGGAGGACCTCCGTGTTGAGGAATGGGATTCTTCTGATGGAAGACCTCCGTGTTGAAGAATGGGATTCTTCTGATGGAAGACCTCCGTGTTGAGGAATGGGATTCTTCTGATGGAAGACCTCCGTGTTGAAGAATGGGATTCTTCTGATGGAAGACCTCCGTGTTGAGGAATGGGATTCTTCTGATGGAAGACCTCCGTGTTAAGGAATGGGATTCTTCTGATGGAAGACCTCCGTGTTGTGGAATGGGATTCTTCTGATGGAGGACCTCCGTGTTGAGGAATGTGATTCTTCTTAAATTGCTTGTAGTATTGTATGTTCTTATTATGTATGTTTGAATGTTGTACATTTTATAAATTGTGTTCATGCATGGCTCCCTTGGAAAAAGAGGCCTTAGTCTCAATGGGACTCCCTGATCAAATAAATATGACTACTAAACATGATAACATCCACCAGGCCAGGGATGACTTAGTTTATCTTGTACCTTTGGGGGATGGAGAGGTGTGAGTGATACCATTACCAAACCTAAATGCACGGATAGTTGTCTATGATGATATCATGTCAGGACAGCAAAGACTATAGTCAAGGTTTTCACAAGAGCGCCTCGGTTTCTCTTAATTGAATCAATCAAATCAGTCATACCCATGGTTGTTGGTATCACTCACCCTCGAGGACACAGTTTTCTCTGCCTTACCTTTCCTTATCTTTTCTCTCCTGTGTCTCCTTCCCTCCTCTCCGCTGCCAGAGAAGACAGGATGTTTTCTGAGAATGAAATAAGAAATATTATGGTCTGGTTTAGCGTTTGTACATAAACATGGTAATGAGTCTTCTTCTCTCTCATTTCCCTCCTGTCACTTTAAGGTTTGTCTTCAGTGTGTCTGGTGGTTAAGGTTTGTCTTCAGTGTGTCTGGTGGTTAAGGTTTGTCTTCAGTGTGTCTGGTGGTTAAGGTTTGTCTTCAGTGTTTCTGGTGGTTAAGGTTTGTCTTCAGTGTGTCTGGTGGTTAAGGTTTGTCTTCAGTGTGTCTGGTGGTTAAGGTTTGTCTTCAGTGTTTCTGGTGGTTAAGGTTTGTCTTCAGTGTTTCTGGTGGTTAAGGTTTGTCTTCAGTGTGTCTGGTGGTTAAGGTTTGTCTTCAGTGTGTCTGGTGGGTTTTAGAGTCTTTGTGATCTTGAGATAATTCAGCAGGAGCTCTGATTATCCCCCTTTACCCTGAAGTGTGACCTTGTTCGTTCAATCCACTTGAAGAGATTGGATTGGTGTAAGAAAACGTGCACACTTTGGGTAGAATGGGAAGAAACTGAATTGGGATGCAGTGGTTGATATTCAACAGTTCCCTCTCATCAAATGCTCTACTGATAAAATTGTGTCAATAGGTTCCCTCTCCCCAGGTTACTTCCACCATGACATTAAACCAGAGAATCTGCTCTGTCTCCCCAGGTTACTGCCACCGTGACATTAAACCAGAGAACCTGCTCTGTCTCCCCAGGTTACTGCCACCGTGACATTAAACCAGAGAACCTGCTCTGTCTCCCCAGGTTACTGCCACCGTGACATTAAACCAGAGAATCTGCTCTGTCTCCCCAGGTTACTGCCACCGTGACATTAAACCAGAGAATCTGCTCTGTCTCCCCAGGTTACTGCCACGTGACATTAAATCAGAGAACCTGCTCTGTCTCCCCAGGTTACTGCCACCGTGACATTAAACCAGATAACCTGCTCTGTCTCCCCAGGTTACTGCCACCGTGACATTAAACCAGAGAATCTGCTCTGTCTCCCCAGGTTACTGCCACCGTGACATTAAACCAGAGAATCTGCTCTGTCTCCCCAGGTTACTGCCACCGTGACATTAAACCAGAGAACCTGCTCTGTCTCCCCAGGTTACTGCCACCGTGACATTAAACCAGAGAACCTGCTCTGTCTCCCCAGGTTACTGCCACCGTGACATTAAACCAGAGAACCTGCTCTGTATGGGTCCAGAGCAGGTGAAGATAGCTGACTTTGGGTTGGCCAGAGAGATACGCTCCCAGCCTCCCTACACTGAATATGTCTCAACTAGATGGTAAGATGTTTGATTTGCACTCTGTTGGCATTATCTGAACATGAATAAGTAAAGCATTATCCCCTTGGGTTAACCAGACTGGTTGATATACAGTACCAGTCAAAAGTTTGGACACACCTACTCATTCCAGGGTTTTTCTTTATTTTTACTATTTTCTACATTGAAGAATAATAATGAAGACATCAAAACTATGAAATAACACATATGGAATTATGTAGTAACCAAAAAAGTGTTAAACAAATCAAAATATATATTTATATTTGAAATTCTTCAAAGTAGCCACCCTTTGCCTTGATGACAGCTTTGCACGCTCTTGGCATTCTCTCAACCAGCTTCATGAGGTAGTCATCTGGAATGCATTTCAATTAACAGGTGTGCCTTGTTAAAAGTTAATTTGTGGAATTTCTTTCCTAATGCGTTTGAGCCAATCAGTTGTGTTGTGACAAGGTAGGGGGGTATACAGAAGATAGCCCTATTTGGTAAAAGACCAAGTCCATATTATGGTAAGAACAGCTCAAATAAGCAAAGAGAAACAACAGTCCATCATTACTTTAAGACATGAAGGTCAGTCAATCCGGAAAATTTCAAGAACTTTCAAAGTTTCTTCAAGTGCAGTCGCAAAAACCATCAAGCGCTATGATGAAACTGGCTCTCATGAGGACTGCCACAGGAAAGGAAGACCCAGAGTTACCTCTGCTGCAGAGGATAAGTTCATTAGAGTTAACTGCACCTCAGATTGCAGCCCAAATAAATGCTTCACAGAGTTCAAGTAACAGACACATCTCAACATCAACTGTAATGAAGAGGAGACTGTGTGAATCAGGCCTTCATGGTCGAATTGCTGCAAAGAAACCACTACTAAAGGACACCAATAATAAGAAGAGACCTGCTTGGGACAAGAAACACGAGCAATGGACATTAGAACGGTGGAAATCTGTCCTTTGGTCTGATGAGTCCAAATTTGAGATTTTTGGTTCCAACCGCTGTGTCTTTGTGAGACGCAGAGTAGGTGAACGGATGATCTCCCCATGTGTAGTTCCCACCGTAAAGCATGGAGGAGGAGGTGTGATGGTGTGGGGGTGCTTTGCTGGTGACACTGTCTGTGATTTATTAAGAATGAACCAGCATAGCTACCACAGCATTCTGCAGCGATACGCCATCCCATCTGGTTTGCACTTAGTGGGACTAACATTTGTTTTTCAACAGGACAATGACCCAACACTCCTCCAGGGTGTGTAAGGACTATTTAACCAAGAAGAGAGTGATGGAGTGCTGCATCAGAATTACCTTGCCTCCACAATCACCCGACCTCAACCCAATTGAGATGGTTTGAGATGAGTTGGACCGCAGAGTGAAGGAAAAGCAGCCAACAAGTGCTCAGCATATGTGGGAACTCCTTCAAGACTGTTGGAAATATATAGTCTGTACCTACTGTAACAGTCTGTATATATGTATATGTCAGTATATATCAACCAGTCTGTACCTACACTACCATTCAAAAGTTACACATGGTCTACGGTTATGAGGCTGGTTCGACATACTGACAAATTCTCTAAAACGACGTTGGAGGCGGCTTATGGTAGAGAAATTAACATTCAATTATCTGGCAACAGCTCTGGTATACATTCCTGCAGTCAGCATGCCAATTGCACGCTCCCTCAAAACTTGAGACATCTGTGGCATTGTGTTGTGACAAAACTGCACATTTTTGCATTTATATATTTATTTATTTATTATTTTTGGATAATAATTATAAAGATAAATAAAATACAATAAGAGGATCACATGACAAACAAAACAACATCAACCTCTGACCTTCAAGCGGTTTACTGTGTTTGTCTGTCAGGCTTTAAACTCACTAAAGGCAGACCTCTGCAGGACGTGAGGTGAGGCTGATCCTACGAGGTCTATACTGTTGTCTGTCTATAAAGCCTTTGTAACAGGCTTTGGTAATTTCACCATGTGGTTTAGAGCTCAGGGATGAAATGATTCTGACTCATCGGAGGTTAATCCCTTCAGGAGACACAGGACAGGAACAACAACAATGTGTGTGTCTGTCTGTGTCTGTGTGTGTGTGTGTGTGTGTGTGTGTGTGTGTGTGTGTACATACAGTGCATTCAGAAAGTATTCAGACCCCTTGACTTTTTCCACAATTTGCTACGTTACAGCCTTATTCTAAAATTGATTAAATCGTTTTTTTCCCTCATCAATCTACACACAATACCCCATAATGACAAAGCAAAAACAGGTTTTTAGAATGTTTTGCAAATTTTGCACCTGTATTTGGGGAGTTTCTCCCATTATTCTCTGCACATCCTCTCAAGCTCTGTCAGGTTGGATGGGGAGCGTCGCTGCACAGCTATTTTTAGGTCTCTCCAGAGATGTTAGATTTGGTTAGAGTCCGGGCTCTGGCTGGGCAACTCAAGGACATTCAGAGACTTGTCCCGAAGCCACTCCTGCGTTTTCTTGGCTGTGTGTTTAGGGTTGTTGTCTTGTTGGAAGGTGGACCTTCGCCCCAGTCTGTGACCATTGGGTTCTTGGTCACCTCCCTGACCAAGGCCCTTCTCCCCCGATTGCTCAGTTTGGCCGGGTGGCCAGCTTGATGGTTCCAAACTTCTTCCATTTAAGAATGATTGAGGCCACTGTGTTCTTGGGGACCTTCAATGCTGCAGAAATGTTTTGGTACCCTTTCCCAGATCTGTGCCTCGACACAATCCTGTCTCGAAGCTCTACGGACAATTCCTTTGACCTGATGGCTTCGTTTTTGCTCTGACATGCTCTGTCAACTGTGGTACCTTATATAGACAGGTGTGTGCCTTTCCAAATCATGTCCAATTTCGAGTCTCATAGCAAAGGGTCTGAATACTTATGTAAATAAGATAATATATATATTTTTTTTTATACATTTGCAAACCATTCTTAAAACCTGTTTTTGCTTTGTCATTATCGGGTATTGTGTGTAGATTGATGAGGATTTTTGAAAATGTAATCAATTTTAGAATAAGGCTGTAACGTAACAAAATGTGGAAAAAAAGGGAAGGGGTCTGAATACTTTCCGAACGCACCGTGTGCATGTGCGTGGCTGTATAGTCTACCTGATCCTCCTGTCTCCTCCCCTCCCCAGGTACAGAGCCCCTGATCCTCCTGTCTCCTCCCCTCCCCAGGTACAGAGCCCCTGATCCTCCTGTCTCCTCCCCCCCTCCCCAGGTACAGAGCCCCTGATCCTCCTGTCTCCTCCCCTCCCCAGGTACAGAGCCCCTGATCCTCCTGTCTCCTCCCCCTCCCCAGGTACAGAGCCCCTGATCCTCCTGTCTCCTCCCCTCCCAGGTACAGAGCCCTGATCCTCCTGTCTCTCCCCTCCCCAGGTACAGAGCCCCTGATCCCCTGTCTCCTCCCCTCCCCAGGTACAGAGCCCCTGATCCTCCTGTCTCCTCCCCTCCCCAGGTACAGAGCCCCTGATCCTCCTGTCTCCTCCCCTCCCCAGGTACAGAGCCCCTGATCCTCCTGTCTCCTCCCCTCCCCAGGTACAGAGCCCCTGATCCTCCTGTCTCCCCCCTCCCCAGGTACAGAGCCCCTGATCCTCCTGTCTCCTCCCCTCCCAGGTACAGAGCCCCTGATCCTCCTGTCTCCTCCCTCCCCAGGTACAGAGCCCCTGATCCTCCTGTCTCCTCCCCTCCCCAGGTACAGAGCCCCTGATCCTCCTGTCTCCTCCCCTCCCAGTACAGACCCTTCCTCCTGCTCCCCCTCCCAGGTACAGAGCCCCTGATCCTCCTGTCTCCTCCCCTCCACAGGTACAGAGCCCCTGATCCTCCTGTCTCCTCCTCTCCCCAGGTACAGAGCCCCTGATCCTCCTGTCTCCTCCTCTCCCCAGGTACAGAGCCCCTGATCCTCCTGTCTCCTCCTCTCCCCAGGTACAGAGCCCCTGATCCTCTGTCTCCTCCCCTCCCCAGGTACAGAGCCCCTGACCCCCCTGTCTCCCCCCCCCCCCAGTACAGACCCCCTGACCCCCTTTTCCTCCCCTCCCCAGGTACGGGCCCCCTATCCCCGTCTCCCCTCCCCCAGGTACAAGCCCCTGATCCTCCGTCCCTCCCCTCCACAGGTACAGACCCCTGTTCCTCCTTCTCCCCCTCTCCCCGGGTTACAGAGCCCCTGATCCTCCGTCTCCTCCTCCCCCCGGGACGAGCCCCTGATCCCCTGTTCCCCCTCTCCCCATACGGGCCCCCTGATCCTCCTGTCTCCCCCTCTCCCCAGGTACAAAGCCCCCAGGTGCTCCTAATCTCCCCCTACACTCTCCATAACATCTGGGCAGTGGGCTGCATCATGGCAGAGCTATACACACTCACACCTCTGTTCCCTGGAAACAGCGAAGTGGACGAGATCTTCAAGATCTGCCAGGTGCTGGGCACCGTGAAGAAGGTGGGCAAGAGGGCTCATTCACACATACACATGCTGGGCACCATGAAGGAGGTCGGCAAGAGGACTCATTCACACATACAGTGGGGGAAAAAAGGTATTTAGTCAGCCACCAATTGTGCAAGTTCTCCCACTTAAAAAGATGAGAGAGGCCTGTAATTTTCATCATAGGTACACGTCAACTATGACAGACAAAATGAGAAAAAAAAATCCAGAAAATCACATTGTAGGATTTTTTATGAATTTATTTGCAAATTATGGTGGAAAATAAGTATTTGGTCAATAACAAAAGTTTCTCAATACTTTGTTATATACCCTTTGTTGGCAATGACACAGGTCTAACGTTTTCTGTAAGTCTTCACAAGGTTTTCACACACTGTTGCGGGTATTTTGGCCCATTCCTCCATGCAGATCTCCTCTAGAGCAGTGATGTTTTGGGGCTGTCGCTGGGCAACACAGACTTTCAACTCCCTCCAAAGATTTTCTATGGGGTTGAGATCTGGAGACTGGCTAGGCCACTCCAGGACCTTGAAATGCTTCTTACGAAGCCACTCCTTTGTTGCCCGGGCGGTGTGTTTGGGATCATTGTCATGCTGAAAGACCCAGCCACGTTTCATCTTCAATGCCCTTGCTGATGGAAGGAGGTTTTCACTCAAAATCTCACGATACATGGCCCCATTCATTCTTTCCTTTACACGGATCAGTCGTCCTGGTCCCTTTGCAGAAAAACAGCCCCAAAGCATGATGTTTCCACCCCCATGCTTCACAGTAGGTATGGTGTTCTTTGGATGCAACTCAGCATTCTTTGTCCTCCAAACACGACGAGTTGAGTTTTTACCAAAAAGTTATATTTTGGTTTCATCTGACCGTATGACATTCTCCCAATCCTCTTCTGGATCATCAAAATGCACTCTAGCAAACTTCAGACGGGCCTGGACATGTACTGGCTTAAGCAGGGGGACACGTCTGGCACTGCAGGATTTGAGTCCCTGGCGGCGTAGTGTGTTACTGATGGTAGGCTTTGTTACTTTGGTCCCAGCTCTCTGCAGGTCATTCACTAGGTCCCCCCGTGTGGTTCTGGGATTTTTGCTCACCGTTCTTGTGATCATTTTGACCCCACGGGGTGAGATCTTGCGTGGAGCCCCAGATCGAGGGAGATTATCAGTGGTCTTGTATGTCTTCCATTTCCTAATAATTGCTCCCACAGTTGATTTCTTCAAACCAAGCTGCTTACCTATTGCAGATTCAGTCTTCCCAGCCTGGTGCAGGTCTACAATTTTGTTTCTGGTGTCCTTTGACAGCTCTTTGGTCTTGGCCATAGTGGAGTTTGGAGTGTGACTGTTTGAGGTTGTGGACAGGTGTATTTTATACTGATAACAAGTTCAAACAGGTGCCATTAATACAGGTAACGAGTGGAGGACAGAGGAGCCTCTTAAAGAAGAAGTTACGGGTCTGTGAGAGCCAGAAATCTTGCTTGTTTGTAGGTGACCAAATACTTATTTTCCACCATCATTTGCAAATAAATTCATTAAAAATCCTACAATGTGATTTTCTGGATTTCTTTTCTCAATTTGTCTGTCATAGTTAACGTGTACCTATGATGTAAATTACAGGCCTCTCTCTTTTTAAGTGGGAGAACTTGCACAATTGGTGGCTGACTAAAAACTTTTTTCCCCCACTGTACACATGCTGGGAACCATGGAGAAGGTGGGGAGCTGAAGAGATTCGGAGGTCAATGTTTATTTCATTATCATGGCTTTCTAAACACGTGTGAAACTCACCTACTCACTCAATTACTCACCCACCGCTGTTGTTGTTGTTGTTGTTAATGTTGTTGTTGTTGTTAATGTTGTTGTTGTTGTTGTTGTTAATGTTGTTGTTGTTAATGTTGTTGTTGTTGTTGTTGTTGTTGTTGTTGTTAATGTTGTTGTTGTTGTTAATGTTGTTGTTGTTGTTAATGTTGTTGTTGTTAATGTTGTTGTTGTTGTTGTTAATGTTGTTGTTGTTGTTGTTGTTGTTCATGTTGTTGTTGTTCATGTTGTTGCTGCTGTTGTTACTGTTGCTGTTGTTGTTGTTGTTGCTGCTGCTGTTGTTGTTGTTGTTAATGTTGTTGTTGTTAATGTTGTTGTTGTTGTTAATGTTGTTGTTGTTAATGTTGTTGTTGTTGTTGTTAATGTTGTTGCTGTTGTTGTTGCTGCTGCTGTTGTTGTTGTTGTTGTTGTTGTTGCTGCTGCTGCTGCTGCTGTTGTTGTTGTTGTTGTTGTTGTTGTTACATCATGGGTCTCTCGGTCACGGCCGGCTGTGACACCAGGCTGGGATCGAACCCGGGGCTGTAGTGACGCCTCAGAGACGTCTGGTAATGGGAAGACCGCTGCGCCACTCGGGAGATCCTGTTGCTGTTACTGTTGTTGTTGGTGTTGCTTACTCAACTTTCCTTCTCCATCTTCCCGTTATCAGACGGACTGGCCTGAGGGCTATAACCTGGCAGCCTCTATGAACTTCCGTTTCCCCCAGTGTGTCCCGACCAGCCTGCGCTTGCTGGTCCCCAACGCCTCCAATGAGGCAGTGGTTCTGATGAGGGATATGCTACAGTGGGACCCCCAGAAGAGACCCACCGCAGTGCAGGTACACATATTAACCCTAACCCCAGAAGAGACCCACCGCAGTGCAGGTACACATATTAACCCTAACCCCAGAAGAGACCCACCATCAGTGAGGATTAATATGATGATTACACACTGTGTTCCAGGCTCTGAGGTACCTGGGCCAGGCATTGGGTCCTCCACCTCAGTACCTGGAGCAGCACAAAGCCCAGAGCAGGACCGCAGCAGCAGCACAGCAGGCCTCCTCCACAGAGCCCAAACCTCTCCCCGTCTGGAAGGCCGACCTCCAGCCCCAGCCAGCCCACACCCAGGGTCAGGGTCAGGGTCAGGGTCAGGGTCAGGGCAGGGTCCACCACCACCAGCCTCAGCATAACACTGACCATCACAGACTCTCCAACACAGACTGGGACGGACACAGCCAGCAGCAGTACCAGTACCAGCCATCTCCGCTCAGCCTGGTCAAACACACCCAGCCACAGGTCAGTGATGTAGCTAGCCATCCTCACTCAGCCTGGTCAAACACACCCAGCCACAGGTCAGTGATGTAGCTAGCCATCCTCACTCAGCCTGGTCAACACACCCAGCCACAGGTCAGTGATGTAGCTAGCCATCCCCACTCAGCCTGGTCAAACACACCCAGCCACAGGTCAGTGATGTAGCTAGCCATCCCCACTCAGCCTGGTCAAACACACCCAGCCACAGGTCAGTGATGTAGCTAGCCATCCTCACTCAGCCTGGTCAAACACACCCAGCCACAGGTCAGTGATGTAGCTAGCCATCCCCACTCAGCCTGGTCAAACACACCCAGCCACAGGTCAGTGATGTAGCCAGCCATCCCCACTCAGCCTGGTCAAACACACCCAGCCACAGGTCAGTGATGTAGCTAGCCATCCACTCAGCCTGGTCAAACACACCCAGCCACAGGTCAGTGATGTAGCTAGCCATCCCCACTCAGCCTGGTCAAACACACCCAGCCACAGGTCAGTGATGTAGCTAGCCATCCACTCAGCCTGGTCAAACACACCCAGCCACAGGTCAGTGATGGTAGCTAGCCATCCCCACTCAGCCTGGTCAAACACACCCAGCCACAGGTCAGTGATGTAGCTAGCCATCCACTCAGCCTGGTCAACACACCCAGCCACAGGGTCAGTGATGTAGCTAGCCAATCCCCACTCAGCCTGGTCAAACACACCCAGCCACAGGTCAGTGATGTAGCTAAGCCATCCCACTCAGCCTGGTCAAACACACCCAGCCACAGGTCAGTGATGTAGCCAGCCATCCCACTCAGCCTGGTCAAACACACCCAGCCACAGGTCAGTGATGTCAGCCTAGCCATCCCACTCAGCCTGGTCAAACACACCCAGCCACAGGTCAGTGATGTACCCTCAGCCTGGTCAACACACCAGCCACAGGTCAGTGATGTAGCCAGCCTCCCCCCTGGTCAAACACACCCAGCCACAGGTCAGTGATGTAGCTAGCCATCCCCACTCAGCCTGGTCAAACACACCCAGCCACAGGTCAGTGATGTAGCTAGCCATCCCCACTCAGCCTGGTCAAACACACCCAGCCACAGGTCAGTGATGTAGCTAGCCATCCCACTCAGCCTGGTCAAACACACCCAGCCACAGGTCAGTGATGTAGCTAGCCATCCCCACTCAGCCTGGTCAAACACACCAGCCACAGGTCAGTGATGTAGCTAGCCATCCTCACTCAGCCTGGTCAAACACACCCAGCCACAGGTCAGTGATGTAGCTAGCCATCCCCACTCAGCCTGGTCAAACACACCCAGCCACAGGTCAGTGATGTAGCTAGCCATCCCACTCAGCCTGGTCAAACACACCCAGCCACAGGTCAGTGATGTAGCTAGCCATCCCCACTCAGCCTGGTCAAACACACCCCAGCCACAGGTCAGTGATGTAGCTAGCCATCCCCACTCAGCCTGGTCAAACACACCCAGCCACAGGTCAGTGATGTAGCTAGCCATCCCCACTCAGCCTGGTCAAAACACACCCAGCCACAGGTCAGTGATGTAGCTAGCCATCCCCACTCAGCCTGGTCAAACACACCCAGCCACAGGTTCAGTGATGTAGCTAGCCATCCCCACTCAGCCTGGTCAAACACACCCAGCCCACAGGTCAGTGATGTAGCTAGCCATCCCCACTCAGCCTGGTCAAAACACACCCAGCCACAGGTCAGTGATGTAGCTAGCCATCCCCACTCAGCCTGGTCAAACACACCCAGCCACAGGTCAGTGATGTAGCCAGCCATCCCCACTCAGCCTGGTCAAACACACCCAGCCACAGGTCCAGTGATGTAGCCAGCCATCCCCACTCAGCCTGGTCAAACACACCCCAGCCACAGGTCAGTGATGTAGCCAGCCATCCCCACTCAGCCTGGTCAAACACACCCAGCCACAGGTCAGTGATGTAGCTAGCCATCCCCACTCAGCCTGGTCAAACACACCCAGCCACAGGTCAGTGATGTAGCCAGCCATCCCCACTCAGCCTGGTCAAACACACCCAGCCACAGGTCAGTGATGTAGCTAGCCATCCCCACTCAGCCTGGTCAAACACACCCAGCCACAGGTCAGTGATGTAGCTAGCCATCCTCACTCAGCCTGGTCAAACACACCCAGCCACAGGTCAGTGATGTAGCTAGCCATCCCCACTCAGCCTGGTCAAACACAACCCAGCCACAGGTCAGTGATGTAGCTAGCCATCCCCACTCAGCCTGGTCAAAACACACCCAGCACAGGTCAGTGATGTAGCTAGCCATCCCCACTCAGCCTGGTCAAACACACCCAGCCACAGGTCAGTGATGTAGCTAGCCATCCCACTCAGCCTGGTCAAACACACCCAGCCACAGGTCAGTGATGTAGCTAGCCATCCCCACTCAGCCTGGTCAAACACACCCAGCCACAGGTCAGTGATGTAGCCAGCCATCCCCACTCAGCCTGGGCAAAACAACCCAGCCACAGGTCAGTTGATGTAGCTAGCCATCCACTCAGCCTGGTCAAACACACCCAGCCACAGGTCAGTGATGTAGCTAGCCATCCCCACTCAGCCTGGTCAAACACACCCAGCCACAGGTCAGTGATGTAGCTAGCCATCCCCACTCAGCCTGGTCAACCAACCCGCCACAGGTCAGTGATGTAGTAGCACCCCACTCAGCCTTGGTCAACACACCCACCACAGGTCAGTGATGTAGCCAGCCATCCACTCAGCCTGGTCAAACACACCCAGCCACAGGTCAGTGATGTAGCTAGCCATCCCCACTCAGCCTGGTCAAACACACCCAGCCACAGGTCAGTGATGTAGCTAGCCATCCCCACTCAGCCTGGTCAAACACACCCAGCCACAGGTCAGTGATGTAGCTAGCCATCCACTCAGCCTGGTCAAAAACACCCAGCCACAGGTCAGTGATGTAGCTAGCCATCCCCACTCAGCCTGGTCAAACACACCCAGCCACAGGTCAGTGATGTAGCTAGCCATCCCCACTCAGCCTGGTCAAAACACACCCAGCCACAGGTCAGTGATGTAGCTAGCCATCCCCACTCAGCCTGGTCAAAACACACCCAGCCACAGGTCAGTGATGTAGCTAGCCATCCCCACTCAGCCTGGTCAAACACACCCAGCCACAGGTCAGTGATGTAGCTAGCCATCCCCACTCAGCCTGGTCAAACACACCCAGCCACAGGTCAGTGATGTAGCTAGCCATCCCTCACTCAGCCTGGTCAAACACACCCAGCCACAGGTCAGTGATGTAGCTAGCCATCCCCACTCAGCCTGGTCAAACACACCCAGCCACAGGTCAGTGATGTAGCTAGCCATCCCACTCAGCCTGGTCAAACACACCCAGCCACAGGTCAGTGATGTAGCTAGCCATCCCCACTCAGCCTGGTCAAACACACAACCCCGCCACAGGTCAGTGATGTAGCTAGCCATCCCACTCAGCCTGGTCAAACACACCCAGCCACAGGTCAGTGATGTAGCTAGCCATCCCACTCAGCCTGGTCAAACACACCCAGCCACAGGTCAGTGATGTAGCTAGCCATCCCCACTCAGCACTGGTCAAACACACCCAGCCAAGGTCAGTGATGTAGCCAGCCATCCCCACTCAGCCGGTCAAACACACCCAGCCACAGGTCAGTGATGTAGCCAGCCATCCCCACTCAGCCTGGTCAAACACACCCGCCACAGGTCAGTGATGTAGCAGCCATCCCCACTCAGCCTGGTCAAACACACCCCGCCACAGGTCAGTGATGTAGCCAGCCATCCCCACTCAGCCTGGTCAAACACACACCAGCCACAGGTCAGTGATGTAGCCAGCCATCCCCACTCAGCCTGGTCAAACACACCCAGCCACAGGTCAGTGATGTAGCTAGCCATCCCCACTCAGCCTGGTTTAAACACACCCAGCCACAGGTCAGTGATGTAGCTAGCCATCCCCACTCAGCCTGGTCAAACACACCCAGCCCACAGGTCAGTGATGTAGCTAGCCATCCTCACTCAGCCTGGTCAAACACACCCAGCCACAGGTCAGTGATGTAGCTAGCCATCCCCACTCAGCCTGGTCAAACACTACCCAGCCACAGGTCAGTGATGTAGCTAGCCATCCCCACTCAGCCTGGTCAAACACACCCAGCCACAGGTCAGTGATTGTAGCTAGCCATCCCCACTCAGCCTGGTCAAACACACCCAGCCCACAGGTCAGTGATGTAGCTAGCCATCCCCACTCAGCCTGGTCAAAACACACCCAGCCACAGGTCAGTGATGTAGCTAGCCATCCCCACTCAGCCTGGTCAAACACACCCAGCCACAGGTCAGTGATGTAGCTAGCCATCCCCACTCAGCCTGGTCAAACCAAACCCAGCCCCAAGGTCAACGTGATGTAGCCTAGCCAATCCTCAACCGCCGGGTTCATAACACACCAAAGCCACATGGTCAAGGGATGTAGACTAGCCATCCCCACTTCAGCCTGGTCCAAACACACCCAGCCACAGGTCAGTGATGTAGCCAGCCATATAGCAGTATTATCTCTATGGATTATGGAGATTATACGGAGATATAATATATTTTTGTAAGGGCCAAGAGCTTACTATAGTACTAACATTATAGTATTATGGACTTACTATGACTGAGATATGGTTGTCTCACCTAGCTATCTTAAGATGAATGCACTAACTGTAGATGGCTCTGGATAAGAGTGTCTGCTAAATGACTCACTACTGTAGTCTCTCTGGATAAGAGTGTCTGCTAAATGACTCACTACTGTAGTGACTCTGGATAAGAGTGTCTGCTAAATGACTCACTACTGTAGTGACTCTGGATAAGAGCGTCTGCTAAATGACTCACTACTGTAGTGGCTCTGGATAAGAGAGTCTGCTAAATGACTCACTACTGTAGTGGCTCTGGATAAGAGCGTCTGCTAAATGACTCACTACTGTAGTGGCTCTGGATAAGAGAGTCTGCTAAATGACTCACTACTGTAGTGACTCTGGATAACAGTGTCTGCTAAATGACTCACTACTGTAGTGACTCTGGATAAGAGCGTCTGCTAAATGACTCACTACTGTAGTCGCTCTGGATAAGAGCGTCTGCTAAATGACTCACTACTGTAGTGACTCTGGATAAGAGTGTCTGCTAAATGACTCACTACTGTAGTCTCTCTGGATGAGAGAGTCTGCTAAATGACTCACTACTGTAGTGACTCTGGATAAGAGCGTCTGCTAAATGACTCACTACTGTAAGACTCTGGATAAGAGCGTCTGCTAAATGACTCACTACTGTAAGACTCTGGATAAGAGCGTCTGCTAAATGACTCACTACTGTAGTGGCTCTGGATAAGAGTGTCTGCTAAATGACTCACTACTGTAGTGGCTCTGGAAAAGAGCGTCTGCTAAATGACTCACTACTGTGGTGACTCTGGATCAGAGCGTCTGCTAAATGACTCACTACTGTAGTCTCTCTGGAATTGAGCGTCTGCTAAATGACTCACTACTGTAGTGGCTCTGGATAAGAGAGTCTGCTAAATGACTCACTACTGTAGTGACTCTGGATAAGAGCGTCTGCTAAATGACTCACTACTGTAAGACTCTGGATAAGAGCGTCTGCTAAATGACTCACTACTGTAGTGTCTCTGGATAAGAGTGTCTGCTAAATGACTCACTACTGTAGTGGCTCTGGAAAAGAGCGTCTGCTAAATGACTCACTACTGTGGTGACTCTGGATCAGAGCGTCTGCTAAATGACTCACTACTGTAGTGACTCTGGATAAGAGCGTCTGCTAAATGACTCACTACTGTAAGACTCTGGATAAGAGCGTCTGCTAAATGACTCACTACTGTGGTGACTCTGGATCAGAGCGTCTGCTAAATGACTCACTACTGTAGTGACTCTGGATAAGAGCGTCTGCTAAATGACTCACTACTGTAAGACTCTGGATAAGAGCGTCTGCTAAATGACTCACTACTGTAGTCTCTCTGGATAAGAGCGTCTGCTAAATGACTCACTACTGTAGTGGCTCTGGATAAGAGCGTCTGCTAAATGACTCCGATGTAAATAGGATAGTACTGTATTGTATACAATAGGCTGGGATATACTTTAATATATAACCTATATATACTTTAAAGGTAATAGCTACTGTCAGTATTTGTTTCTTTGTATCAATTTATGTCCTCTCACAAACGGGGTTATTGTACACTGAACAACAATATAAGCGCAACATGTAACGTGTTGGTCCCATGTTTCATGAGCTGAAATAAAAGATCACAGGAATTTTCCATACGGACTAAAAGCTTATTTCTCTCAAATGTTGTGCAGAAATTTGTTTACATCCCTGTTAGTGAGCATTTCTCATTCGACAAGATAATCCATCCACCTGACAGGTGTGCCATATCAAGAAGCTGGTAGAACAGCATGATCATTACACAGGTGTACCTTGTGCTGGGGACAATAAAAGGCCACTAAAATATGCAGTTTTGTCACACAACACAATGCCACAGATGTCTCAAGTTTTGAGGGAGCGTGCAATTGGAATGCTGACTGCAGGAATGTCCACCAGAGCTGTTGCCAGATAAATAAATGTTAATTTCTCTACCATAAGCTGCCTCCAATGTCGTTTTAGAGAATTTGGCAGTACGTCCAACCGGCCTCACAACCACAGACCACGTGTATGGCGTCGTATGGGTGAGCGGTTTGCTGATGTCAACGTTGTGAACAGAGTGCCCCATGGTGGCGGTGGGGTTATGGTATGGGCAGGCATAAGTTACGGACAACGAACACAATTGCATTTTATCGATGGCAATTTTAATGCACAGAGATACCGTGACGAGATCCTGAGGCCCATTGTCGTGCCGCCACCTCATGTTTCAGCATGATAATGCACGGCCCCATGTCGCAAGGATCTGTACGCAATTCCTGGAAGCTGAAAATGTCCCAGTTCTTCCATGGCCTGCATACTCACCAGACATGTAACCCATTGAGCATGTTTGGGATGCTCTGGATCGATGTGTACGACAGCATGTTCCAGTTCCTGCCAATATCCAACAACATCGCACAGCCATTGAAGAGGAGTGGGACAACATTCCACAGGCCACAATCAACAGCCTGATCAACTCTATGCAAAGGAGATGTAGCGCTGCATGATGCAAATGGTGGTCACACCAGATACTGACTGGTTTTCTGATCCACGCCCCTACCTTTTTTTTAAGGTATCTGTGACCAACAGATGCATATCTGTATTCCCAGTCATGTGAAATCCATAGATCAGGGCCTAATGAATTTATTTCAATGTACTTATTTCCTGACATGAACATTAACTCAGTAAAATCTTTGATAGTTGACAATACAAAATACAGATTTTAAAAACCACATTGTGGACCAGTCCTAGTCAACTCATGGTACAGTATTTAATTTGGAGTCCTCTATAATACATGACATCATTATCGTGTGGGATTTGATGTGGAACTTGTCCAACAGAAAGCCACTCCAGCGGGGTGTGAGAACGGCACATCAGGGTTCAGGAGCGGTAGGATGTGGTGGGGACAGACGTCAACAGGCACCTGGGACGAGGTGGACGACTCTGACCTCGGCATCTCCTTCTCCAAGAAACCCAGCATGGCATCTCTCAGGGACAAACACCAGGACCAGGACAATGACTGGTAGGTCCTTCTGCTTCTTCCTGCCATGCCTGGCTAGGGATTAGGCCCGGTTTGTTCTAGGCAGGTTACATGGTCAGAACCTTTTGGGCATAGTCGCAGACGAGACCTTGGTCTCAATGGGATTACCAGCAACAAAATAGTTAAATATGCTATTTTTTCCTAGTGATCATGTGGTCAGGAAAACTCCTGGCTCCTAGACATGATACATTCTTGTCTTATAAAATGACACCCACTTATACGGTATTTCTACATGCAGTTTTATATTGATTAATGTATTGTTTGATTGTGTGTAGGTTTGCAGAGCCCAAGTCCAACACATCATCAGTGAAGCAACACTACCTGCGCCATTCCAGATACCTCCCTGGTAAAGTCCTGTGGTGCTGAAACCTGTAGGGTCCAGAGACCTCCCTGGTAAAGTCCTGTGGTGCTGAAACCTGTAGGGTCCAGAGACCTCCCTGGTAAAGTCCTATGGTGCTGAAACCTGTAGGGTCCAGAGACCTCCCTGGTAAAGTCCTGTGGTGCTGAAACCTGTAGGGTCCAGAGACCTCCCTGGTAAAGTCCCTGGCTGTGTGCTCGATTTTATACACCTGTCAGCAACAGGTGTGGCTGAAATAGCCGAATCCACTAATTTGAAAGGGTGTCCACATACTCTTGTATATATAGTGTACCTCGCTGGTAAAGTCCTGTGGTGCTGAAACCTGGAGGTCCAGTCCTCCCGTAGTCATGGCCCATCATGGTACCTGTCAGGTGGTCCGAGCTCGTAGTCCAGTCAGATTGGTCCAGTCATGGTCAAGTCTGTGGTCAACCTGTAGGGCAAGTCCTGGTAAAGTCGTAGTGGTCCAGTGGTCCAGTCCATGTGGTCCATCAGTGGTCAGTCAGTGGTCCTCCTGTAAGTCAGTGTCGTGAGACCTCAGTGGTCCAGTCAGTGGCCCAGTCAGTGGTCCAGTCAGTGGTCCAGTCAGTGGTCCAGTCAGTGGTCCAGTCAGTGGTCCAGTCAGTAGGTCCAGTCAGTGGTCCAGTCAGTGGCCAAGTCAGTGTTCCAGTCAGTCAGTGGTCCAGTCAGTGGTCCAGTCAGTGGTCCAGTCAGGTCCAGTCAGTGGTCCAGTCAGTAGTCCAGTCAGTAGTCCGCAGTGCAGTGGTCCAGTCAGTGCCCAGTCAGTGGTCCAGTCAGTAGTCCAGTCAGTGGTCCAGTCAGTGGCCAGTCAGTAGTCCAGTCAGTGGTCCAGTCAGTAGTCCAGTCAGTGGTCCCAGTCAGTAGTCCAGTCAGTGGTCCAGTCAGTAGTCCAGTCAGTGGTCCAGTCAGTGGTCCAGTCAGTGGTCCAGTCGGTGCAGTGCCAGTCATGGTCCAGTCAGTGTGTCCAGGTCAGTCAGTGGCCAGTCTCAGTGTGTCCAGTCAGTGTCCAGTCAGTGGTCCAGTCAGTGGTCCAGTCAGGTGGCCCAGTCAGTAGTCCAGTCAGTGGCCCAGTCCAGTGGTCCAGTCAGTGGTCCAGTCAGTCATGTCCAGTCAGTGCCAGTCAGTCCAGTCAGTGTCCAGTCGTGTCCAGTCAGTGCCAGTCAGTAGTCCAGTCAGTGGCCAGTCAGTGGTCCAGTCAGTGGTCCAGTCAGTAGTCCAGTCAGTAGTCCAGTCAGTAGTCCAGTCAGTAGTCCAGTCAGGTCCAGTCAGTGGTCCAGTCAGTGGTCCAGTCAGTGGTCCAGTCAGTGTCCAGTCAGTAGTCCAGTCAGTAGTCCAGTCAGTAGTCCAGTCAGTCAGTCATGTCCAGTCAGTGGTCCAGTCAGTGGCCAGTCAGTGGTCCAGTCAGTAGTCCAGTCAGGTCCAGTCAGTGGTCCAGTCAGTAGTCCAGTCAGGTCCAGTCAGTGGTCCAGTCAGTAGTCCAGTCAGGGTCCAGTCAGTGGTCCAGTCAGTGTCCTCAGTCCAGTCAGTGGTCCAGTCAGTAGTCCAGTCAGTGGTCCACAGTGGCGTCAGTGGTCCAGTCAGTGGTCCATCAGTAGTCCAGTCAGTGGCCAGTCAGTGGTCCAGTCAGTGGCATCAGTGCCAGTCAGTAGTCCAGTCAGTGGTCCTCAGTAGTCCAGTAAGTGGTCCAGTCAGTGTTCCAGTCAGTAGTCCAGTCAGTGGTCCAGTCAGTGGCCCAGTCAGTGGTCCAGTCAGTGGTCCAGTCAGTGGCCCAGTCAGTGGCCCAGTCAGTAGTGGCCCAGTCAGTAGTCCAGTCAGTGGTCCAGTCAGTGGCCCAGTCAGTAGTCCAGTCAGTAGTCCAGTCAGTAGTCCAGTCAGTAGTCCAGTCAGTAGTCCAGTCAGTGGCCCAGTCAGTAGTCCAGTCAGTGGCCCAGTCAGTAGTCCAGTCAGTGGCCCAGTCAGTAGTCCAGTCAGTGGTCCAGTCAGTAGTCCAGTCAGTGGCCCAGTCAGTGGCCCAGTCAGTAGTCCAGTCAGTAGTCCAGTCAGTGGTCCAGTCAGTAAATAATATAAACTGGGGAGTAATACAGTGTGTGACTTGGTTTGTTAGTCTGGGCCTCTTTAACGTTTTGGGTCTTCAGCTCTTACTTTAATGCCAGCCAGTCCCAACAACACACACTTGAAGAGACTCCCAGACAGTGTGCCTTTGGAAAGACCCTTGTCAACCTGGAATAGTATTAAATCGTCATCACATACAGTGCATTATATACAGTGGCATTCGGAAAGTATTCAGACCCCTTAACGTTTTCCACATTTTGTTACGTTACAGCCTTATTCTAAAATGGATTAAATTATTGTTTTTTCCCCTCATCAATACCCCATAATGACAAAGCAAAAACAGGTTTGTAGAAATTTTTGCAAATTTATAAAAAATAAACAATGGAAATATCACATTTACATAGATATTCAGACCCTTTACTCAGTACTTTCTTGAAGCACCTTCGGCAGCGATTGCAGCCTCGAGTCTTCTTGGGTATGACGCTACAAGCTTGGCACACCTGTATTTGGGGAGCTTCTCCCATTCTTCTCTGCAGATCCTTTCAAGCTCTGTCAGGTTGGATGGGGAGCTTCGCTGCACAGCTATTTTCAGGTCTCTCCAGAGATGTTCGATCGGATTCAAGTCCGGGCTCTGGCTGGGCCACTCAAGGATATTCAGAGACTTGTCCCGAAGCCACTCCTGCGTTGTCTTGGCTGTGTGCTTAGGGTCGTCGTCCTGTTGGAAGGTGAACCTTCGCCCCAGTCTGAGGTACTGAGCACTCTGGAGCAGGTTTTCATCAAGGATCTCTCTGTACTTTGCTCCATTCATCTTTCCCTCGATCCTGACTAGTCTCCCAGTCCCTGCTGCTGAAAAACATCCTCACAGCATGATGTTGCCACCCCCATGCTTCACCGTAGGGATGGTGCCAGATTTCCTCCAGACGTGACGCTTGGCTTTCAGGCCAAAGAGTTCAATCTTGGTTTCATCAGACCAGAGAATCTTGTTTCTCATTATGTGAGAGTCCTTTAGGTGCCTTTTGGCAAACTCCAAGCGTGCTGTCATGTGCATTTTACTGAGGAGTGGCTTCCGTCTGGCCACTCTACCATAAAGGCCTGATTGGTGGAGTGCTGCAGAGATTGTTGTCCTTCTGGAAGGTTCTCCCATCTCCACAGAGGAACTTGGGAGCTCTGTCAGAGTGACCATTGGGTTCTTGGTCACCTCCCTGACCAATGCCCTTCTCCCTCGATTGCTCAGTTTGGCCGGACGGCCAGCTCTAGGAAGAGTCTTGGTGGTTCCAAACTTCTTCCACTGTGTTCTTGGGGACCTTCAATGCTGCAGATATTTTTTGGTACCCTTCCCCAGATCTGTGCCTCGACACAATCCTATCTCAGAGCTCTATGGACAATTCTTTCGACCTCATGGCTTGGTTTTTGCTCTGACATGCACTGTCAACTGTGGGACCTTATATAGACAGGTGTGTGCCTTTCCAAATCATGTCCAATCAATTGAATTTACCACAGGTGGACTCCAGTCAAGTTGTAGAAACATCTCAAGGATGATCAATGGAAACAGGATGCACCTGAGCTCAATTTAGAGTCTCATAGCAAAGGGTCTGAATACTTATGTAAACATTTCTAAAAACCTGTTTTCGCTTTTTCATTATGTGGTATTGTGTGTAGATTGATGAGAAAAAAAATATATTGAATCCATTTTAGAATAAGGCTGTAACGTAACAAAACGTGGAGAAAGGGAGAATGCACTGTAGATACATCTCTGTTACCTGTCCTGTGCTCAACCAAGTCTCTCTCTCTGTCCTCTCTCTCTCTGTCCTCTCTCTCTCTCTGTCCTCTCTCTCTCTGTCCTCTCTCTCTCTGTCCTCTCTCTCTCTCTGTCCTCTCTCTCCCTGTCCCCTCTCTCTGTCCCCTCTCTCTCCTCTCTCCTCTCTGTCCTCTCTCTCTCTCTCTCGTCCTCTCTCTCTCTGTCCTCTGCTCTCTCTCTGTCCTCTTTCCTCTCTCTGTCCTCTCTCTCTATGTCATCTCTCTCTCTGTCCTCTCTCTCTCTTCCTCTCTCTTCTGGTCGCTCTCTCTCTGCGTGCTGTCTCTCTCTCGGTCCTCGCTCTCTCTGTCTCTCTCTCTCTCTCTGTCCCCTCTCCTGTCCCTCTCTCCTCTCTCTCTCTGTCCCCCATCTCTCTCTCTCTCTCTCTGCTCTCTCTCGTCCCCTCTCTCTCGTCTCTCTTCTCTGTCCCCTCCTCTCTCTGTCCCCTCTCTCTCTCTGTCCTCTCTCTTCTCTCTCTTTCCCTCTCTCTCCTCTGTCCTCTCTCTCTCTCTTCCCCTCGTCTCTGCTCTCTTCCTCTCTCTTCCTCCCTCTCTCTCTCTTTCTGTCTCTCCTTCTCTGTCCCTTCTCTCTCCTCTCTTCTCTCTTCCCCTCTCTCTCTCTCTCTCTCTGTCTCTGTCCCCTCTCTCTCTCTCTCTGTCCCCTCTCTCTCTGTCTGTCCGTTCCAGGCGTGAACCCTAAGACCAGCAGCAGCAGCTTTCTGACAGGCCTGCAGCAGTGTGGAAGGAGTGTGTGGGCCAACTCCTCTTTAACCAGGGCACAGGGAGCAGGACTGCCACTTAACAAGGGTGATTACTCCTTTATTACACGTATACAGTCAAATCTCGTTCAAGTCCATCTTTAATGTCCCAGTAGGGAGTTTACAAAAGATACTATATAGTTACACCTGACAAGGACGTACCGTACGTTAGGGTGTCCAATTAAAAACGCATCTTCTGACCAACGTCTCTATCATAATCCGTTCAAAGGTTATTTTTTTATTTTTATTTACCCTTGTAGGATGGCCAGAATTAGGGTGACTAACTCAATGGAGGCCAGATAGATAAAGTGGTCAAAACATCATGAGATTTACACCGCACTACATCAGCTGGGCTGGAGGCTGTGAGAGAATGAAGGCTAACTGACATGCTCACCGTTGAACTAGTCATCTCTCTTCTAGAATCCACCAGACATAAAACAATACAGAGGTCAGATAGATATCGATTTAGAGACGTTACATGTAGTTTCATATTTTAGTATACACTTTTCAGATTCAATTCAAATCAAATGAAGTTGTATTTGTCACATGCGCCGAATACAACAGGTGTAGACATTACCGTGAAATGCTTACTGACAAGCCCTTAACCAACAATGCAGTTTTAAGAAAAATAAGTGTTGAGTAAAAAATAGATAAGTAAAAATTTTAAAAAACGAATAATTAAAGAGCAGCAGTAAAATAACAGTAGGGAGGCTATATACAGGGGGTACCGGTACAGAGTCAATGGGAAATAACAGTAGGGAGGCTATATACAGGGGGTACCGGTACAGAGTCAATGGGAAATAACAGTAGGGAGGCTATATACAGGGGGTACCGGTACAGAGTCAATGGGAAATAACAGTAGGGAGGCTATATACAGGGGGTACCGGTACAGAGTCAATGGGAAATAACAGTAGGGAGGCTATATACAGGGGGGTACCGGTACAGAGTCAATGGGAAATAACAGTAGGGAGGCTATATACAGGGGGTACCGGTACAGAGTCAATGGGAAATAACAGTAGGGAGGCTATATACAGGGGGGTACCGGTACAGAGTCAATGGGAAATAACAGTAGGGAGGCTATATACAGGGGGTACCGGTACAGAGTCAATGGGAAATAACAGTAGGGAGGCTATATACAGGGGGGTACCGGTACAGAGTCAATGGGAAATAACAGTAGGGAGGCTATATACAGGGGGTACCGGTACAGAGTCAATGGGAAATAACAGTAGGGAGGCTATATACAGGGGGGTACCGGTACAGAGTCAATGTGCGGGGGCACCGGTTAGTCAAAGATTTCTCACGAAAACAAGCGTATCTCTGTGAAATGTCAACGGAGCACTGAGTTTATACCAAGCTTTTTATTTTCAAAGCCTTTTACATTTAATTCAGCTCGTGTCATGCAAATGTTGTTTTTTACGACCCGCGGATGCAACTCTGAAGTTGACGACCACAAAATTTAAAATCCTCCAAAGCTATGTTTGGAGAGCTCCTTGGTCTTCATGGTGCCGCTTGCTTGGTGGTGCCCCTTGCTTAGTGGTGTTGCAGACTCTGGGGCCTTTCAGAACAGGTGTATATATACTGAGATCATGTGACAGATCATGTGACACTTAGATTGCACACAGGTGGACTTTATTTAACTAATTATGTGACTTCTGAAGGTAATTGGTTGCACCAGATCTTATTTAGGGGCTTCATAGCAAAGGGGGTGAATACATATGCACGCACCACTTTTCCATTATTTATTTTGTAGAATTCTTTGAAACAAGTTATTTATTTCATTTCACTTCACCAATTTGGACTATTTTGTGTATGTTCATTACATGAAATCCAAATAAAAATCAATTTAAATTACAGGTTGTAATGCAACAAAATAGGAAAAACGGTAAGGGGGCTGAATACTTTTGCAAGGCATTGTATTTACCCTATAGGCCTTATTCCCTTTATAGTGCACTGCTTTTGAGCAGAACCCCATGGGCCCTGGGTCACTATCACCTATCACTAACTATCCTCACTATCACCTATCACTAACGCTCCTCTCCTCACTATCACTAACTATCCTCACTATCACCTATCACTAACTATCCTCACTATCACCTATCACTAACTATCCTCACTATCACCTATCCTACTATCCCACTATCACCTATCACTACTATCCTCTCTCATATCACCTATCACTAACTATCCTCTCCTCACTATCACCTATCTACTACCTCTCCTCCTATCACCTATCACTAACTATCCTCACTATCACCTATCACTAACTATCCTCACTATCACCTATCACTAACTATCCTCTCCTCACTATCACCTATCACTAACTATCCTCACTATCACCTATCACTAACTATCCTCACTATCACCTATCACTAACTATCCTCTCCTCACTATCACCTATCCTAACTCGCCACTCCTCACTACACCATCACTAACTCCGCCTCTCCCACTATCACCTATCACTAACTCTCCTCTCCTCACTATCACCTATCACTAACTCTCCTCTCCTCACTATCACCTATCACTAACGCTCCTCTCCTCACTATCACCTATAACTAAACGAGCCTCTCCTCACTATCACCTATCACTAACTCTCCTCTCCTCACTATCACCTATCACTAACTCCCCTCACTATCACCTATCACTAACGCGCATCTCCTCCACGATCACCTATCACTAACTATCCTCCACTATCAACCTATCACTAACTATCCCTCCTCACTATCACCTATCACTCAACTATCGCTCACTAATCACCATATCACTAACTAAGCCTCACTATACCTATCACTAAACTATCCTCTCCTCACTATCACCTATCACTAACTAATCCTCTCCTTCACTATCACCTAGCAACGAACTATCCCTCCTCCACTATCACCTATCACTACCTATCCTCACTATCAACCTATACACGAACTATCCCTCACCTATCACCTATCAACTAACTATCCTCTCCTCACGATCACCTTCACTAACCCTTCACTATCACCTATCACTAACTATCCTCACTATCACCTATCACTAACTATCCTCTCCTCACTATCACCTATCACTAACTATCCCTCCTCCTATCACCTATCACTAACCTCTCCTCTCCGCACTACAACCTATCACTAACTCTCCTCTCCTCACTATCACCTATCACTAACTCTCCTCTCCTCACTATCACCTATCACTAACGCTCCTCTCCTCACTATCACCTATCACTAACTCTCCTCTCCTCACTATCACCTATCACTAACTCTCCTCTCCTCACTATCACCTATCACTAACGCTCCTCTCCTCACTATCACCTATCACTAACTCTCCTCACTATCACCTATCACTAACGCTCCTCTCCTCACTATCACATATCACTAACTCTCCTCTCCTCACGATCACCTATCACTAACGCTCCTCTCCTCACTATCACCTATCATTAACTCTCCTCTCTCTCTCTCTCTCTACTCACTGTTCTTCTCCATGTCTCTGTCATTGTGTTGTGGGGACAGAGGGCAGTCTTCCTAAACTAACTGATAAACTACTACCTCTTAAAGAAAATATTATTGTAGTGAAATTGGAGCAATTTAGTGAATAATATTATCATCAGTGGCGTGTATTCATGGATGCCGAGGGAAGCCAGGCTTCCCCAAATATTTTACCAATAAAAATTATAAAACAATTTCTCTTTCATCTCTCTGTTTTCATAATCATAGTCCCCTGTAGCTCAGTTGGTAGAGCATGGTGCTTGCAACGCCAGGGTTGTGGGTTCGTTTCCCACGGGGGGCCAGTATGAAAATGTATGCACTCACTAACTGTAAGTCGCTCTGGATAAGAGCGTCTGCTAAATAACTATAAATGTAAAAATAATCACCCGAGAAATCATCCGAGCGAGAGAAACAGCGCCCCTCTGTCTCACTATGTGTAGCCCATGTATCTGATGCTGTCTGGACAAAAAGAGTATGACATGTTGCCGCAGTAGCATTTGATTGATTGATTGATGCCAGCGAGCATTTGGCCTCCCTTGATAAATTTGTTATAAAAATAATTAGGCAATCAGCGTTGGCTAATTATTGTGGGTAGTCCTGGTGCAGCACCCCCCAAGGGAGGCCAGTTTGGATTTGGCTTCACACCAATCAAATCACATCAAAAGCAAAAAGGTTTCTGGTCTGCTTGTGTTTTTGTCCTGCAGTAGCTAGCTTGCTAAATCGTCCCTTTCCAAAGCCATGGATGGGGATTTGGACTTGTGGTTTTGACTGAATTCTCCGTACAGGCCAATGATTATAACGCTGATTCTGATCTAACCATAAATTCATATATTGTGCCACTGGCCTGAGACAATTGAAGTTCAATATGTAGCCTAGATGTAACCTAGTAGGCTCGCATTAGCTAGCTAGCTTCGCCGGATCATTGTTGCCCATGTGAGGAAGTTAGGCTAGCAAGCCTTTTAGCCAGGCAGCCTATGACAACAACAACTTTAAGTGTGTACTACTGTATATCTGAGTCATGGGCTGTTTTGCCAACATTTTTATTTATTTATTTTTTATTTCACCTTTATTTAACCAGGTAAGCCAGTTGAGAACAAGTTCTCATTTACAACTGCGACCTGGCCAAGATAAAGCAAAGCAGTGCGATAAAAACAACAACAGAGTTACATATGGAATAAACAAAACATAAAGTCAAAAATACAACAGAAAATATATATACAGTGTGTGCGAATGTAGCAAGTTATGGAGGTAAGGCAATAAATAGGCCATAGTGCAAAATAATTACAATTTAGTATTAACACTGGAATGATAGATGTGCAAGAGATGATGTGCAAATAGAGATACTGGGGTGCAAATGAGCAAAATAAATAACAATGTAAATAACAATATGGGGATGAGGTAGTTGGGTGGGCTAATTTCAGATGGGCTGTGTACAGGTGCAGTGATCGGTAAGCTGCTCTGACAACTGATGCTTAAAGTTAGTGAGGGAGATAAGAGTCTCCAGCTTCAGAGATTTCTGCAGTTCGTTCCATGAAAGAGGGGAGGATGGCATTAGCGTTCAACTAGTTATATATATTTTTTCACACACACACAGAGGCACAGAAATCTGTTCCATGGACAGCCACATGTTATTTAGCAACATTTGATTGGACTAAATCGTTTTGGGAATCTTTAAGTTTGTTTTCACTGTATTAGACTAAGCCTATTTAGCCTTGTTGATTTGATGATATATCTGTCTCCTCTAATGTTTAAGTTGAATTGGTGCTGGAATAGCGGACAAAGTGCTCCTGTTTACTTTGTGCTGACTTGTGGTAACTCGATGGTTCTAAATTAGTAGATTAGTAAACTGTTGAAAACATTAACTTGCTTGGCCAATACTGCAGGTGATAGAACTGTTGGTTACATGCAATATTTGCTTTGTGGACTTCACCAGATGTTGCTTTCCGGTTTTGTGATGAAACAAACGTACGTGTAGTTGAATTTATTCCGCCACTGTGTGACTGTTGTCTTTCTGTTATCACGGCCTTATTGTTTATCACGGATGGGTTATAGAGTAAACAACACAATTATCACAATATAAGTTGTAATATGGCTTTTTTCCCTGGCTTGGCTTCCTCAGTGATTTTACCCACACACCGCTACCGAATCGTTAATCTCATATGGACTATTTAGTGAATAGTTCATCTCATATAGACTATTTAGTGAATAGTTCATCTCATATAGACTATTTAGTGAATAGTTCATCTCATATAGACTATTTAGTTAATAGTAATCTCATATAGACTATTTAGTGAATAGATCTCATATAGACTATTTAGTGAATAGTTCATCTTTCGTGGACAGACATAGTTTACGTGAGATTTTAGTTCTGCTTGTTGATTAGTGAATAGTTAATCTCATGTAGACTATTTAGATTAGTGAATAGTTAATCTCATGTAGACTATTTAGATTAGTGAATAGTTAATCTCATGTAGACTATTTAGATTAGTGAATAGTTAATCTCATATAGACTATTTAGATTAGTGAATAGTTAATCTCATGTAGACTTTAAATTAGTGAATAGTTAATCTCATATAGACTATTTAGTGAATAGTTCATCTCATATAGACTATTTAGTGAATAGTTCATCTCATATAGACTATTTAGTGAATAGTTCATCTCATATAGACTATTTAGTGAATAGTTCATCTCATATAGACTATTTAGTGAATAGTTCATCTCATATAGACTATTTAGTGAATAGTTCATCTCATATAGACTATTTAGTGAATAGTTCATCTCATATAGACTATTTAGTGAATAGTTCATCTCATATAGACTATTTAGATTAGTGAATAGTTCATCTCATATAGACTATTTAGATTAGTGAATAGTTAATCTCATGTAGACTTTAAATTAGTGAATAGTTAATCTCTGATTTGAGACATAAAGGAATAGGAATAGCTAACTGTAATATTCTTGCTGTTTGGTTTATTGATGTTAAAGAGTGTTATTTATTTCCAGATAACTTCCTGAGTAACACCTACAACCCTGGCAGCAGTAGCAGTTACACGTCATCGTTTCAGAAGGAGATGGGATCAGCTGGACACAGGACCCACCACCTAGCAGCCATAGGAGGCAACTCTGCTAGTGAGTCTCATCCCAGCAGACAACACACACACACACACACACACACCATAGTCATTCACCCTTCAGATGGTTTCTGTGCCATTTATTTCCAGTATTCAATAAAACACATCGTCTTTCTTCCATGTCTTTTGTTTCCTTAACCCCCTCTGTGTTTCTCAACTCTTCTCCTAGCTGACCTGTCTTCTCCTAGCTGACCTTAGAACTGAATCAAAACACAAACCGTCCAAGTTTAAACCCTCTTCCAATAAACTGACTGGCTCTAATGAAGGTACAGTGGGGGAAAAAAGTATTTAGTCACAGCCACCAATTGTGCAAGTTCTCCCACTTAAAAAGATGAGAGAGGCCTGTAATTTTCATCATAGGTACACGTCAACTATGACAGACAAATTGAGATTATTTTTTCCAGAAAATCACATTGTAGGATTTTTTATGAATTTATTTGCAAATTATGGTGGAAAATAAATATTTGGTCACCTACAAACAAGCAAGATTTCTGGCTCTCACAGACCTGTAACTTCTTCTTTAAGAGGCTCCTCTGTCCTCCACTCATTACCTGTATTTATGGCACCTGTTTGAAGTTGTCATCAGTATAAAAGACACCTGTCCACAACCTCAAACAGTCACACTCCAAACTCCTCTATGGCCAAGACCAAAGAGCTGTCAAAGGACACCAGAAACAAAATTGTAGACCTGCACCAGGCTGGGAAGACTGAATCTGCAATAGGTAAGCAGCTTGTTTGAAGAAATCAACTGTGGGAGCAATTATTAGGAAATGGAAGACATACAAGACCACTGATAATATCCCTCGATCTGGGGCTCCACGCAAGATCTCACCCCGTGGGGTCAAAATGATCACAAGAACGGTGAGCAAAAATCCCAGAACCACACGGGGGGACCTAGTGAATGACCTGCAGAGAGCTGGGACCAAAGTAACAAAGCCTACCATCAGGAACACACTACGCCGCCAGGGACTCAAATCCTGCAGTGCCAGACGTGTCCCCCTGCTTAAGCCAGTACATGTCCAGGCCCGTCTGAAGTTTGCTAGAGTGCATTTGGATGATCCAGAAGAGGATTGGGAGAATGTCATATGGTCAGATGAAACCAAAATATAACTTTTTGGTAAAAACTCAACTTGTCGTGTTTGGAGGACAAAGAATGCTGAGTTGCATCCAAAGAACACCATACCTACTGTGAAGCATGGGGGTGGAAACATCATGCTTTGGGGCTGTTTTTCTGCAAAGGGACCAGGACGACTGATCCGTGTAAAGGAAAGAATGAATGGGGCCATGTATCGTGAGATTTTGAGTGAAAACCTCCTTCCATCAGCAAGGGCATTGAAGATGAAACGTGGCTGGGTCTTTCAGCATGACAATGATCCCAAACACACCGCCCGGGCAACGAAGGAGTGGCTTCGTAAGAAGCATTTCAAGGTCCTGGAGTGGCCTAGCCAGTCTCCAGATCTCAACCCCATAGAAAATCTTTGGAGGGAGTTGAAAGTCTGTGTTGCCCAGCGACAGCCCCAAAACATCACTGCTCTAGAGGAGATCTGCATGGAGGAATGGGCCAAAATACCAGCAACAGTGTGTGAAAACCTTGTGAAGACTTACAGAAAACGTTTGACCTGTGTCATTGCCAACAAAGGGTATATAACAAAGTATTGAGAAACTTTTGTTATTGACCAAATACTTATTTTCCACCATAATTTGCAAATAAATTCATTAAAAATCCTACAATGTGATTTTCTGGAGAAAAAAAATCTAATTTTGTCTGTCATAGTTGACGTGTACCTATGATGAAAATTACAGGCCTCTCTCATCTTTTTAAGTGGGAGAACTTGCACAATTGGTGGCTGACTAAATACTTTTTTTCCCCCACTGTAAATAATAATGAACCTATAGTCAGTTACCTATAGTCAACATAGACACAATTTCTCTTCATGCGAAATCCATGCAGCCAATGGCAATGTCCACTTTAGGTATAATGCCGGGATCCGCTTGTGGATTTAACTACCTCCGAGACCGCCAAAACAACCACTGTGCGGGCTGTTGGCTAGCGTGGATCTTTTTCAAATGTAGCCCTAAATAATATTGGTCGCTATTGTCAACATACACACAGCTTCCTGTATCTATTTGTTATGTAGTATTATATATTTCAACAGAGGAATAGTGCCATGGCATCCTTATACTATAGCAGACACTAGAATGAGACTCTTGGCTTGCGTTGAGGAGGGCTCTGAACGTTGCAGATAGAAATGTCATGAAGAGCTGACACGATTCCTCACTCTACATTCAGTAGAGGCATCGCTGTTCCACATAATATATTTCTATCTGAACGTTCCACAACGACGAACCCTTCTGAACAGGGCTCCCCGCCCTAAACTCCTCCACTTTGATCTGACAGAGCACGAGGGATGGAAGATGAAGTCCATGAAGCCTCAGGTCCCTGGATCTTCTAGCCTCAACAGCAACAGTGGAGGGGAGAACACCGTGTCTCGAGCTCCTCCTATCCAGCCTGTACACGGACGGGTGGACTGGGCCGTCAAGTACGGAGGAAGACACCGGTAGCCCACTGTAGCCATATGACTGAGAAGAGTACCCACTGTAGCCATATGACTGAGAAGAGTACCCACTGTAGCCATATGACTGAGAAGAGTACCCACTGTAGCCATATGACTGAGAAGAGTACCCACTGACGCTGCTTGTATTCATTATGTGGTTCGTCCCAAATGGCACCCTAATTCCTACATAGTACACTACTTTTGACCAGAACCCTATGGGCCCTAGTGTGCTATGTAAGGAATAGGATGCCATTTGGAACGCAGACGATGTACTCTTCTTAGTCCTATGGCTAAAGCCCATTATGGTCGTGATCCAATATCCACACTAGCACACCACTTAGAATGCACGCCCCAATACATACATGCCTTTATTCTAAGTGGTAGTATGCCAGTGTGGGTATCAGGGTTGGGGCCAATTCCATTTCAAGAAAGTAAACCAAATTCCACATTTTTCTAATTGAAAAGCATTGAAGAGAATTGGAATCGGAATTTCGGCGTGCTTCCTGAATTGACTGGAATTTAACTGGAATTGGCTCCAACCCTGGTGGGTAGTAGAGCAGTCAGGAACTGTGTTGAGAATCAACTCAGAGGGAAGAATTCCATTTCCTGCAGCGCATTTTGAGCGTTGGGGCCCTCCAGCTAGAGAGAAGAGGGTCTAGAGCACGACGTTTGCAACACCAGGGTTGTGGGTTCGATTCCCACGGGGGGCCAGTATGAAAAATAAAATATAAATAAAATGTATGCACTCACTAACTGTAAGTGGCTCTGGATAAGAGCGTCTGCTAAATGACTCACTAACTGTAAGTGGCTCTGGAGAAGAGCGTCTGCTAAATGACTCACTAACTGTAAGTGGCTCTGGAGAAGAGCGTCTGCTAAATGACTCACTAACTGTAAGTGGCTCTGGAGAAGAGCGTCTGCTAAATGACTCACTAACTGTAAGTGGCTCTGGAGAAGAGCGTCTGCTAAATGACTCACTAACTGTAAGTGGCTCTGGAGAAGAGCGTCTGCTAAATGACTCACTAACTGTAAGTCGCTCTGGAGAAGAGCGTCGGCTAAATGACTCACTAACTGTAAGTGGCTCTGGAGAAGAGCGTCTGCTAAATGACTAAAATGTAAAAATGTATTTTCTGGCTGTGTATGTACACACAGCATCATTCTAGTCTGTAAGCCTCAAGAGTCTCTGACTGTGTCCTAAATGGTACCTTCTTCTCTATAGGGCTCTGATCAAAAAATAGTGCACTATAAAGGGTGGCATTTGGGAGTCCGACTCTGTCTACTACGCCGCTCTGTGATGTGTCCAGCTGTTGTCATGGTAGCTAGCGAGCATCGTTACAGTCAGTGGGCTGCACAATATTTCAGCATTACCTTTCATTACATGTTTAGTTATTATTTTTCTAGATATAGTGAGAGTTGACCTAAAATAAAATAATTATTTTACTACTAAAGCAGCCAACGAGTTCAAGTTATCCATACTTTAATTTCTGTATGATAACATTTGTCTGTATATATCAAATATATGTTTTATTCATAAAAAGTACAAAAAAAAGCTTTGTCTGGACATTTCTCGAGTACATCTAGCATGATAAAGTCCTTATCAGTGTTTTTTTTTTCTACCTGAATACTTTTCAGTGTCATTGTATGAGGATAAAACCTGTTGTTTTGCATCTTCGATCTATGATTTAGATTTAAAGTCATATGTGTAAAATGTTGAAAATCTTTTTTTTATGTGTAATCTTTATAAATGAATAACTATTTCAATGTATTATATTTTCACAGAACAACAGTAAAGCATTCCCTGGACACACATGTAAACTGAGACAAAACATTCCTGAATATGGATATTTTCACACATGATACAGTGGGGGAAAAAAGTATTTAGTCAGCCACCAATTGTGCATGTTCTCCCACTTAAAAAGATGAGAGAGACCTGTAATTTTCATCATAGGTACACGTCAACTATGACAGACAAAATGAGAAAAAAATAATCAGAAAATCACATTGTAGGATTTTTAATGAATTTATTTGCAAATTTTGGTGGAAAATAAGTATTTGGTCAATAACAAAAGTTTCTCAATACTTTGTTATATACCCTTTGTTGGCAATGACACAGGTCAAACGTTTTCTGTAAGTCTTCACAAGGTTTTCACACACTGTTGCTGGTATTTTGGCCCATTCCTCCATGCACATCTCTTCTAGAGCAGTGATGTTTTGGGGCTGTCGCTGGGCAACACGGACTTTCAACTCCCTCCAAAGATTTTCTATGGGGTTGAGATCTGGAGACTGGCTAGGCCACTCCAGGACCTTGAAATGCTTCTTACGAAGCCACTCCTTCGTTGCCCGGGCGGTGTGTTTGGGATCATTGTCATGCTGAAAGACCCAGCCATATTTCATCTTCAATGCCCTTGCTGATGGAAGGAGGTTTTCACTCAAAATCTCACGATACATGGCCCCATTCATTCTTTCCTTTACACGGATCAGTCGTCCTGGTCCCTTTGCAGAAAAACAGCCCCAAAGCATGATGTTTCCACCCCCATGCTTCACAGTAGGTATGGTGTTCTTTGGATGCAACTCAGCATTCTTTGTCCTCCAAACACGACGAGTTGAGTTTTGACCAAAAAGTTCTATTTTGGTTTCATC